CCTCCCCAGGCTCCAGGAAAGCTTCCAGAGCCTGGGGAGGGCAAAAACCAGGCCTAACGGAAGTCCGGAAACCAGCCATTTCCGGCCTCCAGAGGGCTGGGGGAGGCTGTTTTTGCCCTCCTCAGGTTCCATGAAAGCCTCAGGAACCTGGGGAGGGCGAAAAACAGGCCTACCAGATGTTCGGAAATGGGCTGCTGGCCCAAAATGGGGCACGAGTGTGTGTGTGTGCGTGCATGCGCGGGGGGGCGCATGCACATGTGTAAGGGATGGGCCACAACGGGGAGGCATGCATGCACAGGGGGCATTGCATTATAGGTATGGGCATGTATGCACGTGACCCCCCACCCCCCCCACCCCGTCCGAAAAAAGTTTTGCTGTCACTGGTCTAAGATATGAAATACCACTCACAGATCCACAAAGTTACAGTTTCCCTCTGCTGGGTCTCCAGAACTAGTTGGTTGATGAACTGTTAGCATATCTTGCCAATCAAAGCTGTTGTAGCCATTAGTTCAATAGAGGGTTTCAAAAATTGGAATTTCACACAGAATGACATGAAATGCCAGTTTTGTGTTTTGAATAACATTTTTGTATTTAAAGTGGGAAGCTTTGTGAAGGTTTGTGTTTGAAATGGTTAAAAAATGAAGTGTGTTTTATACTCCTACATATTGTTATTACCAAAAAAATGAACATTTTAATGGTATATAACAAACATAGATTGATAAAGGTTGCCTGGATACAGGTTGCCTGGATCCCGGAGAGCCTTTTACTTAGTGTGTTATGTATGTCTGGCTTAGACCCTGTCACTATTATACTCAATTGGACTAAATATGAGTTATCTAAATAGATAAACATTTTTTATCTATGAAGTGAATTTCTAGGAACTTAAAAAAGACCTCAAATATTGAAATCATGAATGTTCATATGGTGGTAAAAGACAGAACTGCCATTGTTCACATCCCCAAATTTGGCTGTCCTATTTTACATATTATGAAAATTGAATCATCTGCCTTATTTTCTGTTTTAAAAAATTTCAGGCCATTTTTCAGGGCAATAATAAAATCACAATCAAACAGAAAATCAATAATAGAAGCAAATATCTCTGATAAAAAGCTTTCGTTTGGGCAATAGAATATCTTTCATCCTCCAACTTGGAACATATTTTGATGTATTTTTATCAGATTATTTATTTATTTATATAAAATTGATAGTTTCCAAATAAAAAATATTGTATTACCATACCAACTAGTTATTTCACCGATTTTGTCTGTCTTGCTCTATAAATAATAATTAATTAAGGATGATCCTTGGTGGCGATTGATTGCTAGAACTCCTGCGCTTTCAAGACTTGAATGCTTATTGTTTGCTTGTGAATGAATTTCTCCTCCTGAAACATCAGGGGAGCATCTGCCCACTTGTTCATATGTCCACTCTTCCAATCAAGTTACTGCTGCTGCTGTTTCTCTTGCACTTTTCTGTCCTGACTCATGTGCTTTCTGGCACAAAGCACCGCATTGCAACTGAGAAAAAAACAAAATATAAATGGCCCGAATGAAAACAGCTAAATCCAAGCACTGTCTAGCTATCCAGATCACATGGCTATCTCTAGTTATAGAGACTTAGAATAACTTATACATGCTGAATACATGGACGTACTTTATCATACTCTGCAGTACATGCAGTTAATTTGCAGTTTATCGCTATGATACTTAGATTGTTGCAGTTTTTCTATCCCACAAAATTTGAGCTGAATAGGGATTCCCCCACCACCTGTGAACATCTATAATGATTTTTTTTAAAAAAGAGAGACATGATCTTTTTGCTCTCAACTAGGTATAGCATGTACTTAGATCCTGTCATGCAAATAGACACTGAAAATACCAAATCTGGAGAAGTTTTTGTTTTAACAATCAGAGAGCTTTTAGGATACAGAAATAGAACGGGAAGGATTTCTGTTTCCTTTCTCAAATTTACCCACGTGTCTTGAGAATTTTTTTAAATGATGTGGAAAATTGGTTGGTTGGTGGATTGATTTCCTGTCTTTATTATTTTTATAAATAACTCGGGGCAGTGAACACACACAATACTCCTTCCTCCTCTTATTTCCCCCATAACAACAACCTTGTGTGGTTGTTTGGCTGAGAGAGAGAGTAAGTGCCCAAATCATCCAGGTTTTCATACTTAAGGCAGAACTACTGTGTTTCCCCAAAAATAAGACAGGGTCTTATTTTCTTTTCTTTTGAACCCTGAAATAAGGGCTTGTCCTTATTATCGGGGGACCCGGCAGAGAGAGGCTCCCTCCGTGCACCATCAATCCCGCCCCTCTGGGGGGAGAATGCGAGCGGCCCAAAGGCGCCAAGCAGCGCTAGCGCCTGTTCCCTCCTCCGCTTGCATGTCTCCCAGGCCTCATCATGTTAATGGGTCAACTTTGCAGGTGAGGCGGATGGATGGGTGGATGAATGGATGGGAGGCAGGCGAGCGCCAAGAACACTGGGGAGAGAGAGAACGAGAGGCAGCTCCCGATCAGCTCAGCTGATCACGGGTTGCGATTAAGGGGCCCAGCTTCCATTAACTGACTGGGGAAAGGAAGGGCTGCTTCTGTGCTGACCACACCCACCCTTCACTAGGGCTTATTTTCAGGAGAGGACGTATATTTATGCCCACCTCAAAAATCAGACTTGGCCTTATTTTCAGGACATGTCTTATTTTTGGGGAAACACGGTAGAACTCACAGTCTCTTGGTTTCTAACCAGCATTTTAACCACTAGACCAAACTGGTTCTTCCTAGGAAATTGGAGACCAATCTCTTAGAGATTATCTTCAATTTTTGAATGTAGTAATCCTTCTTGCCACTTAACTCACCTTCCAGTCCAGCTCTTCTTATATGTTCACTCTTGGTACTGAAGAAACAGATGTTATCATCTTGCCAAGGAGAAGAATAAAATGAATGATAGAAAGTTGGGTATGACAAGCAGGAAATAGGAGAAAGGAAGTAGAGATGCAAAGTTTTTCATTTTATTACTTTATACCCTTTTAGGTCTTGGTTCTGCAATTCCTTGAGGGACCCTATTTTTTTAAAGATAATATGGTGGTGAAATCAGGGTTGCTGATGGATATGGGAGAAAGATGTATTGTAGAAAAAGAAAACTTTGGGATACCATGGGAATAAGGAAGCCTACTAGATATTGCATTATGTTTATGTTTGTCCATTCTCCCACAGTATTGGTTTTATTTCTGGTTAATAGTTATTTTTTAATAATAGATAATTTGTTTTTAACTGTTTTTGCTGTATGACTCCCAGAGTCATGTTTGTGAAATGGTCAGATATATAAATTGGCTAAATAAATAAATAAAATAAAATAAAAGCAGATTTGAGTAGCTATTAAGTGAAATCCATCTGTATCAACAGAGAAGAACAGTGAGACTCAGTTTGTTGGATGTGGCAAAAGGGAACTTTTACTAAGTTTTATAGGAAAAAGCTCAATAAATATTTTCCTTAACCAAAATACTAAATGTTTCATTTAGTTCAATGAAGTCACATTATAAGCTATCATAACATTCTTCCTCTTTTATATCAGTATAAACTGTTTGCCCCTTAAGCGGTCACCAAAATGATTTGTTGATTTTTCTCTAGAAGAACTTGCCATGTAGAGAAAGCTGCTTTCTCACACTTTTTATCGGGGCAGTTATAACTCTGAGATAATACCCTGTGAGAAGTAGTAATGCCTTCTCCGTTTCTTTTTTTCTTTCCTTTTTTTTATTAGTTTTTTATTATAATATATAATAGTACAATTCAACGTTTTTCGGTTCCGTGGTGTTAACACACATATATACATTAATTACATATTATTTACATAGTATTGCATCTTTGCATTGGTTATAGTTTAAAAGATAGTGCAAATGGTAATGCTCAATTCTATTTAGTCATTATTGATTATTCCTTGTGCCTCTCATGCTATGCATTTTGTTTCTTTTCTCCATTTCTATATAAAGTTATTTACTTTCTTCAGTATGAAACATTTGTGCTACTTGTAAGTAAATTTCTTTTACTGAGCTACCATAGTTGGATTGCAGATATCCAGACAACTGTTAGAAGGCAGCAGATGGTTAGAATTTGCTGTATTCTTTGACATCTATCTATCTATCTATCTATCGATCGATCGATCGATTGATCTATCTATTTATTGTTTATATTTATATACCGCTCTTATCCCGAACGACTCAAGGCGGTGAACAGCCAACAGATAAAACACAAGAAATACAAAATTTAAAACCAGTATTAAAATCCAATTAAATTAATTTGGCCCACAGTTAAAAGCACCCCTGTATTAAAACCCATAATTAAACAGTTTAAAAATTAAAACAATTTAAAAGAGTTTAGGCCAGCCCGGCTTGTTGAAATAAAAACGTCTTTAGGGCACCGCAAAAGGTGCGTAGATCCGGGATCCGCCGTATCTCCGGAGCCAGCTCATTCCAGAGGGTAGGTGCCCCCACAGAGAAGCTCTCCCCCTGGGGGCCACCAGTCAGCATTGTTTGACCGACGGCACCCTGAGGAGCCCCTCTCTGTGGGAGCGTACTGGTCGGTGGGAGGCTATCGGTGGCAGAAGGCGGTCTCGTAAATACCCAGGTCCTAAGCCATGGAGCGCTCTAAAGGTCTTCTGTAGAGAATGTATATGTACTTGTACATATACAAGTAATCCTTGACATATGACCACAACTGGGACTAGAATTTCCTTTGCCAAGTAAGGTGATTGTTAAGCAAGTGATGCCTGATTTTTTTATGAGTTTTTTTGCCACAAATGTTAAATGTTAAATGAATCACTGCAGTTTTTAAGTCAATCACATGGTTATTAAACAAAAAAGGCTTATAAATAAAATCTCATGATCATCTGTACTTTTATAAGTCAGATTTAGTATACTGAAGCTATAGTATTATGATTGTTTCAAGATAGAGCATGTTGTTAATTTAAATAATTTTCTTCTTCTTTTCTTTTTTCAATTAGGAGCCGCAAAATTCAGATAAGAAATATCCCCCCTCAGCTTCGATGGGAGGTAAGTCTGATGATATGAAAGAGAATGTGGGCTTAGCACTCAGCCAGGAATTGTTTTTATTTTTAATTCAAAGAGCTTTGGTATCTTTTGAGATTTGTGTTTCTGACAAAATATAAGAAAATCTCCTCCCTTTGTTTCCCATCTGTCCTCCTGCTGCGACATCTACTAGTACAGAACAAGAAAAATACTACTATTTTTAACCAGATTTTCCAGTTGTGTTGAGTTGTACAAAATAAAGGCAGAATATAAATCTAATAATAATTCCTAGTTGATAGCTATTCTTTTCTATTGTATAAGGATCCAAAATTGTCCCCTATCTCAAGATCGTTAAACAGAGGCTACAGAATGTCATTGATCAAGAGTTACCTGATGTATTAGTTAGCTTTAGAAAGGGGTATGTCACTCGAGATCACATTGCCAATATTAGATGGATCATGGAAAAGGCACATGAATATCAAAAGGATCTATATCAATTACAGAAAAGCTTTTATGACCATTATTTGAAATCATGGAGTTACTTATCTTTGTTTAGCCTTGTAAAAACCAAGACAGAATACAGGTAGTCCTTGAGATATGACAGGCCATTTAATGAATATTTGAAGGTACAACACACACTCCAAAAGCTACATATGAACCCGTTTCAAAGTTACAACTCCTGCAGAGCCCCCATAGTCATTTGCCCTTACGATTGATTCCAGAGATAGTACAGCACACAATACTTCAGTACTACAGTGACAGGGTGCAGTACAGAGGAGGCCCATAGACTTTGGTGAGCCCAAAGGGCAGGGAGCAGAGCATGGAATATCTCAAAGAATGGGTTTGAAACAGTTGCCTACAACAGAAAATGACTAGTACCTCATAATCTGAAATTTGTTTACTGTGATAGGAATCAATTTAGACTCCCTTTCCAGGCTCCTACTAAGAATAGTTAATTGCAGAAATACGTCAGTAATTTCAGTGTGAACTTTGCCTTTTTTTCTTCATTACAACAAACTTGAAATAGGATCTAAAGTGGGATTCAGTTGCTGCAATGAACTGAGTATTCATCATATTTATCACTTATAAACCAATTTATTTCAACATTAAAGTGAGTTCACCTGTCCAAATGTTATAGAACAAGACATTTTGGGTTTGTTCGTTGGGTCAAGTAAAGGTGAATGCAGAAAGGCTTGTAATAATGTATAATTACATTATTTTGATTTGCATTGCCAGTTGAAAGCCTTGGCTGTCTCTAGTTTTTGTTCTTAGTTATAGATTTTTGGGGATAAGTAGAAAATACCTCTTCAGTTTTGTATTGCTTTGTATAATTTTAAGCATGACTTAATCCCTTCCTCTTTTCTATGTCCATGTTTGTGTGTCTTATGTATGCGTATGTTTTTAACAGTAGTTTTTTTAAAAATCTGAATAGGTCTTGGATGGTTTGCTAGCTCAATATGGTACTGTGGAAAACTGTGAACAAGGTAAGTTTTCATGAGAAGGTTTGGGAAATTGAGGTAGTCCTTGACTTATGATGGAACACTCTCCAGCCAAGGTACTTATGACCCAATTCTGAATGGCAGGATGCTTCCCTTTAACAGAAACATGACAACATTTCGGGCACTTAGCACCCAGTCCACATTTATGGCTGTTTGCAACATTCCTCGGTCACATGGCCACAATTTATTGTGTTTTTGCTGAAAGCAGACATTTACTTCTATTTTTTTGCAGAAACACCTCATTGCAAACAATGGGTCTGCTTAATTACCACTGCAAAAAAAGGTTGTAAAATTAGATAAGTTACATGATGACCCACTTTATGCCTGTCGTGACTCATGATCATAATTGGTAAGCTCCGTTGCAGTCGTAAGTAGAAGAAAACCTGTATATCTGCATCTATCTTAGTGCCACAGATTGAAGGAGGAACTTCTAACTTAATTCTAAATTTGTTTACTGCAAAGTAGTTTCACTGAACTCATAAAGACATACATTTGAGGAAATATCTTTGTGTTATTGATTGATTCTGATCAGTGATGAAATCTAAAATTTGTTACTACTGGTTCTGTGGGCGTAGCTTGGTGGTGGTGGGGGTAATGTGACTGGGTGGGCGTGGCCAATTTTTTTTTTTTAACTTTTAAAATCATTTTTTCTACAACCTCTTCGGTGAAGAGCTTGTAAGAAAATGCTGTCAAAAGGCTCTGACGATCCCAGCTGAGCCACGCGATCATCAGAAGCTTTTTTTTTTTACTTTTAAAAGCATTTTTTGGCCGAAGAGGTTGTAGAAAAAAATGCTTTTAAAAGTTAAAAAAAAAGCCTCTGATGATTGTGCAGCTCAGCTGGGCATGGGGTGGGGGCAGGGATTTTTGCTACCAGTTCTCTGAACCACCTGCCTCCATCGCTACCGGATCAGGCGATCCGGTCTAAACTGGGAGCATTTCACCCCTGATTCTGATTCATCTGATCCTGCATGTTTGCTTACAGTGTATTCCACCTCATTTCTTCAGTTGCTGTTAGTATTTTTTTTTTTAATTTTTCTTTAAGCAAATGTACTCTTTACATGCATTTGATATGCCTTAAGATGCATTTAATACAGTTTTGGAATCAAAAGCGATTCTTGGATATTCTGAAAATACAAAAATTATTGGGTAAAGTTATTTCTAATTTGCGCACATTAGCACAGAAGGCAAGAATGAAGTCAGCATGTATTGGAGTTCTCAAAATTAAATTGTGAAGCATCTCTGTGTGGGATCAGAGTATGGCCATACCACTGCTTTCCTCACCATTCATTGTTTTCCCATACTCAGCAACTCAAACAATGATGGGGAAGTCGAACTCTTTACAGCCACATATGAAGGAAGCACTCTTGAGAACTGTAATTCCTTGAGATGAGAAGATGGAATATAGCCTAGTTGTGTTTAAATCTTAAACAATGACTCTAAATCAATACCAGGATTAAGTTGTAAATCTAAAATAAGGATTTCTAAATAATAGCAATAGTACTTAGATTTATATACCGCTTCACAGTACTTTACAGCCGTCTCTAAGCTGTTTACAGAGTCAGCATATTGCTCCTAACAAGCTGGGTTCTTATTTTACCAACCTCAGAAGGATGGAAGGCTGAATCAACCTTGAGCCAGTGAGACAGCCTCAGCAGAAATAGCCTCCAGTACTGCCTTCTAACCACTGTGCCACCACGACTTCTATAACGATGTGATAAATAATGTAATAGTCTGTTTTTCTCGTATACTTAAGCTATAATGAGTGAGGTTCACACATCCTACTAAACCAAAAATAAACAAGTCATTTTACATGTTTTTGCTATTCTTGGAAAAGTGGAGATTTAGCTACTAATTCTAAGCTATTTTAACCATAAAGGACATTTTAACTACATATATTTTTCTTCCTTTTTTTATTTGCAAGTGAATACGGACAGCGAGACAGCAGTTGTTAATGTCACCTACTCTAACAGAGAACAGACCAGACAGTAAGTTTAAAGCGTTTTATTGGTTATAGGTGTTTCTGGTTTGGTATTTTTGTGTGCGTATAATCCTGCACAGAATACTGAACTCAAAGCTAACAGAAAGATATTTATATTAGCTGGTTCTGACAGGTTGTTAGATCTGCAACATATTTATGGTTTATTTATCTAAGAATCTTTGTCTCATCTAATTATAGTCTATCACTTGTGCATTAAGATATCCTCGATCAGTGCTTCTCTGAAATCTTGGACACGATCAGGGAAAGAGTCTCTGAATTACATATGTCTTTTTCTGGGGCTCTGAGAGAATAGTTTTTTAAAGGAGAACAAATAGATGCTCACAATCAAGGTATATTGTTAGGTACTGCTTATTTTTGCCTGGATAAATTGTTCCATTCTCTACTGGAAGAGAAGGAAGTTCTTAAAATCCTGTCACATATTGTCATCATCATCACTGTCATCCTTCTTTGTGGAGCAGCCCAGGAGTTCTTGCAGAAAAAGGTACTCCAAATAGTTAGGGAAAACTTGTTCTCTAGTAAGTGCATGTAGGAATGCTGCTTTAGTTAAATATTGCTTGTAAGATTAATTAATGGATATTTCTTTCATCAAACAACAAACCAGTTCAGATATGATCTCTGGCAAATTCTGTGACATATTAATTATTAGTTAGCCATCTAAAAGCAAATGTTTCCTATACAGAATTATTTGCTCTCCTTGCTCACTGCTCCACTATGTGGAGGCAATGTGTAGAATTCATGGAACTTGGCAGGAGAATTTTAAACCTAGGTTTCAGATAACAGATTTTAACCGAGTGGCAAATGTACATGGGATGCTTGGTTGCATATAGATTGTCCCATGCTGAGTTTTAGTTAATGTTAACACCCCCATCTATAGTTAGCTTTATGTATTGCAGTCTATTATCAAAGCCATATACAATTCTTGATGTCTTTGGGCTGTTCTCCATTTAAGGTGCTCTCCCTACAGTTTGAGACCACCAGAAAATTAACCCTGCATCGTTTTTGCTGCCCCAGTTCCCAGTCCCAATTTCCTCTGTTCTAGCTTGCAGCTGGGGGGCGGGCAGGCAGGGGAAGGTCAGTATCCTCATTTTCTGTGCACATTCCTTTTAGATACGTTCGGACAAAAGGAGACAAGTTTATTTTATACATATTTACACTTTCTAAGTAAAGAAATCTTAACATGATAAAAAGAATGCATACTACAGAAAAGAAATAAAAAATAGTGAAGCGATCAGGCAGAAAATAATAAGGAAATAGAAAAGAAGCAGTTCTGATCTTATAAAGTTATAAATGCAATTATACTTTGCCCTCTCTCTCTAAAATTGCATCATAATTTCCTTTTTCAACAACCTGCTGCAAAGGGAGGTGAGTTTAGAGAATTAGACATATACTTCCCTGTGCCCCAGTCAGCATAAGCTTAGCCATCTGTCATTACTCAGTGCTCCTTGTGAAGGGTAGAAAGTCCTCCTCTCCTGCCAATCACACTCAGTGTTTGTCAACGATTAATAAAGCTCCTTTTGAATACATATTTTTCTTAAAAGTCTTGTGTTATTTGAATAACAAGAAATGGGTCCCGTTGAGGGATATGCCATGAAATTGCAGAAAATAAGCCTTCCTACCAGCCCTGTTCATTTGTTTCTATTTGGAGATTTGCATAGAGACATAGCAGGTTAACAGAGGAACTCAGAAGGAATATTTCAAAAGGATTTTTAAAACAATCTTTCAGAAAGTCCTATGCTCACCCAGTCCAAACCAAAATGACTAGAGTCACAGGGAATATGGAGCATGTCTGTACTAGTATAAAGTGTTGAATAATTTATGGCTGATCCATCTTCTAAGGTGCCCAGACTGTGACAGTACTGGTAAAACATGTCAGGTTATAGTCAAGGTATGATTGGCTGTGTTGCCCGCCTAAGGCAGAATATACTACATAACATCAAAACAGCTAAGGATGGTCTGGCTGCCTCAATTATGGCTGGATTCAAGATGAAGATAATGATTTGCAGACATGGCAGAGAAAAAGGTTTCCAGAGTATTCCTGCCTAGTTTAGGTCCACCTGGAAAAAGGCATTTTGTTCCCTTTGGTACCCTGCACAATTTTTAGTTTTCCAAATGTGTTAGTCATATAAATTTAAAGGAATGTGACCTATTAAGAATAGAATTAACAGAAAAAGTGTGTGAAGAAACCTTAAAAGTGCTATTACCTTATTTTTCAGAGTATAAGACGCACCTTAGTTTTTGGGGAGGAAAATAAGAAAAAAGCTGATTGGTGGGTAGATTGGCCTCCCGGAATACCCCTAGTCAGCTGTTCCCAGAGGTGAATTTTAGCAACAGGTCCCTTGGTTGTGAGCTCTGTGCCTTACTTTTTTTTTTTTTTTGCTTTTTTTTTTTTCCTGCCTCTGAAACTTCTGAAACTCTGTTTCAGAAAAAACTTTTTTTTTCCGCTCTGAAAGCCTCCGAAACAGAGCTTCAGAAAAAAAGCCTCTGAAGCTCTGTTTGGGGGCTCCTTTTCTGAAGCTTCATTTCTAATGCTTTTTTCAGCCTCTGAAACCTCCATTTGAGAAGCTGGGCAGGGCTACATTCGGAGTATAAGACGCACCCAGATTTTCACCCTCTTTTTTTGGGAAAAAAGGTGCATCTTATACCCCGAAAAATCCAGTATATAGAAATCATTTAATCACCCAGACATAGATGATGTAGAAATAATATGTAATAACTGGATCAGCAGAATAGAAAAGAAAGAATTAGAGAAAATCACAAAATACCCAAGACTGCAACTAGAAATAGCATGACTGGCAAAAGAAAGCAAAGATAGTGCCAGTAGTGATAGGTGCCTGGGTGTAATCCTAAAACATCTAAAGCACCACTTGAACATCATTGGCATTGACAAAAACGCTATCAGTTAATTGCAAAAGGCAGTTTTACTTAGAACAGCTTATATCCTGTGACAATATCTTTATCACCATCAAACAACGTCCTATCCCAGATCCGTGGAAAAGACTCAATGAATGGATAAAAATGCCCAATCCAGCCAAAGCAATTGATTGATTGTGCAATGAAGTATAATAATAATGATAGTAATAGTAATAGTAACAATAATAATAGAAGGATTTCCCTACTTTGAATTAATAGTCAACTAAAAGAATTTCCCATGTATTACATTTTCATTTTCCTTTGACAAAATAAAAGAGCAGACAAGAAAAAAAAAAGATTGCATTGGTTGTGAGATGGGAATGTGGTTTTCAGTTTATCAGTTTAGAAAAGGCTTACTATACTATGATTTTAAAGTAGCTTTGTTGGCTTTTCTTTATCCTTTTGTATAGTATTGGTTTTAATGTAACTTTACACTTATTTTCCCCATAATGTATATCCAAGGTTGGCAGCAAAATGCCCATAGCTGTTCAAATGAGAGAAATTGCTAAATTTTGCAAGCTTCTGTTTTTTCATATATGAACTCATGTGTTATTCAATGAGAATGGTGAAAAAATCCTTTTAGGGTATTTTTTTCTAAAGATTCTTTGATTCCTTTTGCAAGCTTTGGCATGGCTTCTAGATTGCTGAGACCATTTTGGGATAGATGGTGTTCTTTATTCTACATGAGTGTTGGATTCCTGAAGGCTTCAGGACTGATATATAAGATATAATTAAGATATTTAATAATAAAATTGCTAACCCAGGCTGATGATACCTTGTCCCTTTAAAACTCCTTCCTAACTACCATAGCATAACCTGCCCTCTCACAGATTAGTTTTCCATCCATTTTATCTCTCTTTTTCTTCTCCAGAGCTATCATGAAACTTAATGGACATCAACTGGAAAACCATGCATTGAAAGTCTCATACATACCTGATGAACAGATTGTGCAGGGTGCAGAGAATGGACGTCGAGGTGGTTTTGGAACACGGGGTGCCCCACGGCAAGGTTCTCCTGTGGCTTCAGGAGCTCCAGTGAAACAGCAACCAGTAGATATCCCCCTTCGGCTTCTGGTTCCTACCCAGTATGTGGGAGCCATTATTGGTAAAGAAGGTGCCACCATCCGCAACATAACCAAACAGACACAGTCCAAGTAAGACGTTGTTTTGTTAGCAAGCATTTTAGCTGCTTCTTTTTCACATGTTGCTAAATTCCATACAGGGCACAAAGCAAATCCAATCCAGAAAATTAGATTTTGGCTAATGCTCCATCTACACTTGGCATCTAATTTATGAGAATCAGCCCAGGATCAGTTTGAAATTTGGATTGAAATGGGTTTTCTAATCTGTTTCATTGCTTAAAATTGGCAACTGAAAAGGAAAGCAAAAAATCTTCAGAAAACAAAAAATTCCTTCCCAGGGTTAAGATGAGGCTAAGATGAAAGAACCACCTTGAAGATTTTAGTTGCCATTTATTTTTTTATAATTATATATACATCTCTGACTGTAAAAAGGGGGTCATTAAAGTAAAATAGATAAATAAAGACTGAAAGAAATATTTCCACAAAGGCAGTAAAATATAGAACATATGTATATATATCCTGTTTCCCCGAAAATAAGACATCCCCTGATAATAAGCTCAATCGGGCTGTTGAGCGCATGCACTAAAATAACACCTCCCCCCAAAAAAAGCCCTCCCCCAAAATATTTAAACGCATGTACAGTTGGTCCCCACCATTTCCTCTGGTTAGGGAGACTGCTGAAAATCAGATAAGATGGCAAGAGGAGCCCTGCCTTGCTCCACCCGCCCCAAAATAATAAGATCTCCCTGAAAATAAGGCTTGGTATAAGCATGCTATTTCCTTTTGAATAAGCAGAATAAGAACAGAAAAATAAGAAACAATCAAATTTCATTAACTACTTTTACTTAATTAAAAAGAAATCTAAGAAAACAAATGCATCCTCAACAACCCAACGTGGATATAAATAAGAATCTGAATCTTGAACATTATCCTTAAACAGAAAAATTCCTATTTCCCCTGTTCTTCTTTCAAGGAATGTATATTGCTGTCACTCCCCTTTTCCCCTTCCCACACTAACCCTATAATATTGCTGAGGTCCCATAGTGACCATAGTAATTCAATAAAAATTTCAAGCAAGGATTACAGAGCCATAATCCAAAACTCAAATCCAGTATTATTCTGTCTGTGTCCTCCAACTCTGGTTTTATAGTTTGCAATAGATCTGCAGGGCATTAGATGGAAAGTTGTTTTGTATTACTCTGCTTTCAAGTTTTGTTTTGTTCCTTATTGTGTTCCCTATGAGAATGAATTGGGAGTTATTCGAGTTTCAGCATTTCTGTTGCTAAAGTTTGCTTCATAGTGGATATATAGGTTAAAGTAGATAACCAAGATAATTCAGATCAGTGCAGCTTATTGTGATTAATCTTTATTATGGTTCTTTAAAATTAGATGCCTTGAAACCATGAATTATAAAAATGGCTTCTTCTTTTTTAAAGGCAGTTGTACACAGTATAGGATTAGGATGATATAATAAACTATAGATAATTAGTTTACAATTATCTATAAGAGGGAGGTTACAATGTTGCTATAGCTATTCTGCTAAACTGGAGTTTATAAGCCTCAATATTCTTCATGTTGTTCAGCACTGCACCCAAAGATGGTCACTATGCCAAAGAAGTCTCACTGTAACTGAGACTTTATGGGTTTCATAATGTCCATCTAGTGCAGGGGTCAGCAACCTGCGGCTCTGGAGCCGCATGTGACCCTTTCACCCTTCTGCTGCAGCTCCCTGGCACTCAAAATAAGTGTCACAACCGCTAATGTGCAACACCCGTCGGCATGTGATTTATTGAGCTTTTCAACCCCCGGTAGGCTAACCATGGATAAATCCAAGAAAGGAAAAGTTTCAGAAGAAAACAATTAATTCAACTACATATGCTAGTTTTGTAGCCTCTCAAGAAATAGTCAGGCACAGGAAGGGTTTTGTGGCTCCTGGTGTTTTCTTTTCTGTGGGAAATGGATCCAAATGGCTCTTTGAGTGTTTAAGGTTGCAGACTCCTGATCTAGTGTATGTTGTCCTAGCACTTAACATTTATATTTCTATCACAAAATTGGGTATTTTCAAATTCTATTAACCTTGATTTTCATCAATTTTACAATATTATTACAATATTTGTTATAATATTGTAATAACTATAATAACGGTGATTGTTGTATCACATTATTTTGTCGTATACTGTTTTATCTTTCTAATAAGATGCTTCCATTATTTTGTAGATTACTCAGTGGCCTGTATATATTGGGCTATCTAGAGGAAGTGAATATAATTAAAATACATATGCACCCAAATTGGGAATAAATGAGAAATGAGGCATTTGAGATATTTTGTAAAGATAAGGAATTCAAGGTTTTGAAGCATCTTATGTCCTTTTAATTGGTTTCTGATTCCTTGGATATATAGCAATATTCAAGTGTTCAAATTGGATGATTTCTTGCTTTTCTTTGAATTCACCGTAGAATTGATGTGCATCGGAAGGAAAATGCGGGGGCGGCTGAGAAAGCAATAAGCATCCATTCAACTCCAGAAGGCTGTTCTGCTGCTTGCAAGATGATCTTGGAAATCATGCAGAAAGAGGCAAAAGACACCAAGACGTAAGATAGGCCATTGCCACGTTTGGCAGGCCTTTTTAGAAAGGCTACCCAGAATTATTATTTTTTTCTAGCATTATTCCATGAAATCTTTTCCAATGAAAGGCCAAGAAAATGGGAGATTCTGTAGCCAGTTTGTTTTGCTTCTGACTACTTGCTACCAGGTTCTTTTCTTTCACAAGTCAGTTGGATTTCATGGATACTGTCTATGAGAAGTAACTCAGTAGATATATTGGCTCCTTTAAGATGAATACCTGCATACATCTTGCATTTTTTGTTCCCTAACTTTGAAACTCGGGAGAAACTATGCAAATTAAGAATGATACAAAAGTTTACTTAAATGTAAATAGAGCAATGATAGTAAAACCAAAACAGGTTTCTTAAGTGATACAGGTGGTCCTCACTTAGTAACAATAGTTGGGACTAGCAACTTGGTTGTTATGTGAAACAGCTACTAAATGAAACCATCACTATGCTTATGATATTACTTCAACTTTATTGATTTGTGAAGATCATAAATGCAGGCATTGGTTGCAAAGTTTTCAGCACTGTCGTAACTGCAAACAATTGCTGTGCAAGGCAGTTGCCTACTGCCTGGAGGTCCACCTGGTCCATTTTTATTGATACCAACTGCCTGGCCATGATTCTCCACTGTTTTAGATAATCCTTATTGGAAAGGCAGGTGATTGAAGTGGGGGACTTTTCTGCATGCCCAGCAAATAATCTGACACTGAGTTTGAATTCACTTAATTTATTTTACATACACCAGTGCTGATGAAGTACCTCTGAAAATCCTAGCCCACAACAACTTTGTAGGACGACTAATTGGCAAGGAGGGCCGCAACCTGAAGAAAGTGGAACAGGACACAGAGACAAAGATCACCATCTCCTCGTAGGTTTTTTGTTATTTCCCCCTTTACTTTTAATGTAGTTACGAACTTTTTGAGCTTTCCTGTTCTGATGGAGAATATACAAACAATCTGTGTTTGTGTGCATATAATAACAATCCTATTCAGCCCTCAGCCCCATTTGCCAGGTTTTTTTTTTTTTTTTGACAAGTAGTCATCTACTTCTGCAAAAATAAGGGGCTAATGTACAAATAAACTTCTGAATGGATGCCTTGGCCTCTGAATCCATTACCAATTGACGTAGAAGGCAAAAGGCTGAAAAATAATTGAGTAGGATTATGGGACCAGAGAAAGCTCCTTTACCATCTAAGTATTTTGGAGGAACAAATTGTGGAATTTTGTCTCCCAGCCTGTAGCCATTATATATCAAAAAGATTGCCTAATATGTAGGAGTTCCTGTGAGCCATGCCTTTCCTTGCCTTGGAAAATAATGCCAGAGCATGTAACAGTGCTACCTACTTTTAAATGAATATTGCTAGAATTACATGACAGAGAAGATTCTTGGGGCACTTTCTTTGATAAACTGGTTGAACTGAATGCAGAAATGGAGTCTGAAAGATTCATCAGGCAAGGGTTTTTGACAGAACCACTTTTTTGTTTTGATGTTCCCACTCAGCCTTCAGGATTTGACATTATACAATCCTGAAAGGACTATCACTGTGAAAGGCTCCATCGAGAATTGCTGCAGAGCAGAGCAAGAAATTATGAAGAAAGTGAGGGAGGCGTATGAGAATGATGTAGCAGCCATGAGTGTAAGTGTGTTTGTACCTATTTTGGTTCATTCTTTAAGATTCAAGTCTGTTTATTGTACCATATTTGCCACAAGTTAGGCTGTCTGTCCTTTATAAATTAATGGGAAGATATATTACATCAAAAGACTCACCCATCATTAACATCATTTGCTCTGAGATGATCTCCTTCATTGAAGTCAGGAATAAAGAACGTAGTGGAACTGAATCTAATCTGAGTAGGAGAAAATATTGGTGAAATTATTGGGGGAAGATGCACATAACTGGCAAAGTGTGCAGATTCTATCCCTTTCATTGTACACTCGCCTCACTCTGTAGACTCCCTGGCTTCCCAGTCTTAAATTTATTTATTTATTATTTATTTATTTTATTTTATTGAATTTCTATACCGCCCTTCTCCCGAAGGACTCAGGGCGGTGTACAGCCAGAAATAAAACCATAACAAAATAAAAATTAAAAGCAATTAAAACAAATAAATTGGCCAAAAACTCTAATAGAAGAAATCATGAAGAAATATAGAACATTTTCTGACTGGAAAGGTTCACAGTCAAAAGAGGCTACAGAATAGTCTTCAATTTACAACACAACAGGGGTGGGTTCTACTTACCTTTACTACCGGTTCGCAATGGGGCCGCGCGCTTTCGCTTCGCTCGTGCACGCACATACACTATTTTGCGCAGAAGCATTTTGATGACGTCAGGGTCGGTGGGCAGAGCCTCCCTCCGGGTTTTACTACCGGTTCTATAGAACCGGTGCGAACCGGCGGCAACCCACCATTGAACCACAGCCAGAATTTCTGCTGCTAGGCAAGGTGATTGTTGAGTAAGTTGGGCCCACTTTTATGATCTTTTTTGCCACAGTTAGGTAAATCACTGCAGTTATTAAGTGAATTATATGGTCATTCAACAAATCTGATTTCCCCTATTAAATAAATAGCTCACAGGACACTGAGCCATTGTAAATACATGCTAATTGCCAAGTGCCTGAATTTTGATCATGTGACCATGGGGATGCTCCAATGGTTGTATGTAACTTTTTTCAGTGCTGTTGTAGCTTTGAAAGATTGCTAAACAATTGGTTGTAAGTTGAGACTACCTGTATAAAGTAATGGGAAGATATATAGCAGAGAATAACAACCTCGTCTTCCTTGGCACAGGGCCTGGTTATTTGAGAAACCACTTCCCTTCAGTTTTTTTCTGTCCACTTGTAAATTTGAGCAGGGAAGACATGCTGCAGATCTCTTTAATTAAATGATGCCATCTTGTGAGACCAAGGATGTGTGCCCCTGTGTCATGGCCCCCACCCTACAGAACAGGATTCCCCCCCCCCACTTTAAGACCTGACTGTTCCCAAGCCTAGGGTTTACTTTAATCTGTTTTCTCTGCATTTCAGGGGTGGCAGGCTATGTTATATATATATATTATTGTTCTACTTGTTTTAGTCTAGGCTGCCTATTTATAGGGGTTCCATTTTAATTGTTAAGCCATCTTCCGGGTGGCCATAACACTTTAATAAATTAATTAACATAATAATAAAGCAGACTCAAACTTTTTAAAGCATAATTCTAAAGGAATTATGGACCATCTTGAGAATGACGTATAAAAATAGAAACATCACTTCAAAGCAAGAGCTTTCAAACATAATATTAAATATGCTGTTTTTTAAAAAAACGAGGTGATCTTTGCTGTAAGCATTTCAGAGTTATTAGCTGAGTCCCAGCTAACTCTGTTCTAATGAAAAAAAATAATAATAAACATCCCCTTCCCCTTCTCTTTGTCTTGTTTTCTCGGTTTTTATTTTAGCTACAGTCACACTTGATACCTGGTCTCAACCTCGCTGCTGTTGGTCTCTTTCCTGCCTCTTCCAATGCAGTGCCGCCTCCTCCAAGTAGTGTCTCTGGAGCAGCTCCATATAATTCTTTTTTGGTAATGTTGAGATCTGTTTCTACATAAGCAACTCGTAGTATAGAATTGTCAGTCACTTAAACTATACAAAAAAGAGGCAGTTTATCTCGGTGGAATGTTTGTATAGCTTCCACTAAGCTGCACATTTGATTCCCACTAAATTTGGTTACATCCAGCAAAATGTATATAATGCATCCTTAGATGGGTGTTTCTAGATGTTGAGAATCTTTTTTTTTCTTTTGAGGTTTGTATTTTATTTCATATGGAACGTCATGTCTGGATACAAGATTGGATAGTTGCAAAATGGACAAGATTTTTAAAGTGGGGGGAGATCAGGTGTTTCACTGATTCTTGTAATGTCAGTAGTGTATCAGAAAAGCATGTACAATAGCAATAGTATTTAGGTGTTTATACTGCCCTGTAGCACTTTTCAGCATTCTCTGGGCAGTTTATAGTTTAGGCACTATTTGCATATTGGCCCCAGATCTGGGTCCTCATTTTACCAAACTTAGAAGGATGGTAGGCAGCCTTTAGCCTCTTCAGGATCAAACATAAGGCTGTAGGCAGAGTTTGCTTACAATACTGCACTTTAACCACTGCGACACAAGGGCTCCTCAATACAATACATTTCATTTCAATGAGGTTTATATATTTGCTTCTGAGCATGAACACTGTAAAGCAGTGGTCACCAACCAGGGGTCCATGGATCCTTGGTGGTCCGTGAGAAAATTTTGGTGGCTCGCAGAAACATCATTTGCATTTTTATATTGCACTAAATACTATTTATCTTTTAAAAAAATTCATATTAGTGGTCCACGGGATTTAAAATTATGAATTTAGTGGTCCCTGAGTTCCAAAAGGTTGGTGACCCCTGCTGTAAAGAGATGGTTTGACTGAGCTTTCATAACCACCATTCTAATTTGTTGCTTCCTGTTACTATAAAAACTTCAATCCTGTTTTATCTCTAGCCAAATTCACATATCATTTCTCCCATCTGCATTTATCATCTTCATCATCATTCGTTCCTTTCATGCTGAGTTCACTAAACTTGCACTAAACATGTAATGGTAACATTGCATTTCAGCCCGTAATGGATAGTAGTAGAAATTTGTTTTTAGCCTATCAGATTGTCAATTGAGAATGCCCAGTTTCTCTGACATTGATTGGTATTCATAAAATTACTTTCTTGGCAGCCTCCTGAGCAAGAGACTGTACATGTTTTCATCCCTGCCCAGGCTGTAGGTGCAATCATTGGCAAGAAGGGCCAGCACATCAAACAGCTCTCCAGATTCGCAAGTGCCTCAATCAAGGTGCCTATACCTTTCTGTTGCTTCAATGCTTTAATCTTTGCTAGCTAGTAATTGTTGTGAAACTTTTTGTGCAATAGCTACAGCTGTATTGGTTTTTGAAAACAAGGCAGAAACTTCCTATTAGTGTCTCTCTGATTGCACTGGTGAAATTAATAATGTATTTTTAACCTGTTCGTAAGAAAATCTGGAAACGCTTTTGGAAGGACATCACCATCACCATTGATTTTTAAAAAAAATAAATCATAATTCTTACTTTCACAACTAAATCAATCCTCCCTGCTCAGTTTGGGCATTGTTGTTAGACAGATTAGTATTTCATTTCATTGCCTCTTTTTGTCTTCTTTAGATTGCTCCTCCAGAGACTCCAGATTCCAAAGTGCGTATGGTGATAATTACTGGACCTCCAGAAGCCCAATTTAAGGTTTCTTTCTTCTGTGAATTATATAGAGAGGAAGTTACAATTATGGAAATGTGTTTCTTTCTTTCTAAAATGTCATTCTTTAGCATGGCTCCCAGAATGAAAGCATCATAGAAAGAAATTGTAACAAAAACAAAGCCATGCCCAAAGTTCTGCAAGTGGTCCTTGTTTAGCAACTGCCTCATGTAGTAGCTGTTCGCAGTTATGACTGTGATGAAAGAGTTAACTTCGTGACCATTCTTTGAATTTATAACCTTTGCAGTTCGCTAAAGCAAACAAAGGCTGAAGTAAGATTGTAATCACAGTTGCGGTTTCACTTAGTAACCACTTTGCTGAATGATGAAGTTGCCAGTCCCAGTGGTGGTCACTAAACAAGGAGTACCTGTACAGAAACCAGACTGATAGCCTGCTACTCCAGGACTGTATGCAATCCTCAGAATCCTTTTAGAAGTTATTGCCAGATGTTAATGTTTAACATGACAGAAATCAGAAAATACTAGTTTTAAGTATATTGAGTTTGTGCACAGCTGTTAACTTTGTGTTCTGCTACCCCATTTAATTATGTTTATTATTTAAGTATCACTATTACCATTCCTAGAGAGGAAGTCTGGTTTAGTGGTTAATGTATCAGTCTAGAATGTGAACTGTAGTCTTGCTATATGGGACTATATGATGCCAGCTGGGTGACTTTGGACCAGTGTCTCTCATCTCTAGGAAGAAGGAGGCAAAGGCATATTGCTTCCAAAAATCTTGCCAAGAAAACTGCAGGGATTAGTTACTAAGAGTCAGCAATGATTTGAAGGCACCCATAGATATTGGCTTACAATCTAGGTTTAGAGAACAAACAATAAGAAGGATGAGCTAGTTTGGTATGCATTTATATCAGGTATCAATTACCGTATTTTTCGGAATATAAAATGCACCGGAGTATAAGACACAGATTAGTTTTTTTGGGGGAAAAATCTGCCTACCAGGTATTCATCTGGCTAGAGTCCTTAGTCTGGTCAGCTTCAGCACATTAGTTTGCTGGTTTTGAGCGCGCACATTTTTTATCCCCTGCTTATCCTCAGTTTCTAAAGCACAGCTGAGAGGGAGCAGCAATGAGAAAAGTAGGCAAAATCGCTAGTGCCTCATTAGGGCTGAAAAAAAGCTTCTAAAGCACAGCTCAGAGAGCACTTCATTCGCTAGCGCCTCATTAGGGTTGAAAAAAAGCTTTGAAAAAGCTACATTCAGAGTATAAGACACACCCAAATTTTCAGCCTCTTTTAGGGGGGGAAAGTGCGTCTTATATTCCGAAAAATACGGTAATACCGCTCTTCCCGTATTAGATAAAGCTAAAAGATGTTGTAATTTCAGAGGAAATGGACCACCTATTTAATCGCTCTTTGGTGGTTTGATTTCTTTCAGGCTCAAGGACGAATTTATGGAAAGCTGAAAGAGGAGAACTTTTTTGGGCCCAAAGAGGAAGTGAAACTTGAGACGCACATCCGAGTCCCTGCCTCAGCAGCAGGAAGAGTCATTGGCAAAGGAGGCAAAACAGTGAGTGCAGGATTGGGCTGTGGAAAGAGACCTGAGAATGGGTTGTTTCATCTGTGGCCCAAGATGGGGTATTAAATAATGGACGGTCAGTATAATGCAGATCTTTCTCCCAAATGCCTGATAACTGAAGCACAGTTAAAATTTAGGACACGCTTCAAATTGCTACCTGTAGAAGGTTCTGAGGAGATTTAAACATTAACATCAGGCTATATTGTGGTTCCTTATATTGTTTAAATTAGCTTTTGATGCAGAGCAATGTGAAAGCAGTCAGAAACCAAGATCTGAGATCAGATTGGAGGGAGATCTACCATCTACCATTTTAAGTTACGATGGGACTGTCCCAAAGCTACTTATGACCCAGTTTCAGCGCTTCATTGGTTGTGCTCCCTCTTTCCCCTGTGGTCACATAGCCACATTTCAGGCACTTGGGAAGCAGCTTATCTTTATGACCAGTTGCAGCATTCCACAATTTATGACTTTCACTGGTTTCCAGCTTTTTTGGCTGGTTTCTTGCAAGAAATAGTCATAGATATACATTGATTCGTTAAACAGCCACCCTGTTCACTTTATAACCACAGCATTTGCTTAATCACCACTACAAAAGTTGTAAAGTTGGATCTGGTCACACGGGTGTCTCAACGTATGACCATCAGGATTTAGGATAGAAAGTCCAGGGTCTATTATGGTCCTAGTTTGCTTACTGTTTGTACTTTTTAGCAAGCAAAATACTGTTTGTGGTGTTCTATGGTCATGAGAAAGACAACTCATAGTTTGAAATCTTAATTATGATAATTATAAATCCCGATTATACCTAAACTAGTTTTCAAATATATAGTCCCATATAAAATTAGTCTTCTAGATTTACAATATAAATTTTTAAGACTGACTTCATGGTTGGCCTTAAAACGTTGCATGCTTCGCTGGTTTTAACTTGAAGTGTTGCACTAGCTTAGCCAACTGTGCCTTATTTATTAAGCTTTAACTTCTTTAAAAACAAAACTAAGTGTGGGCCCATGTTTTAATGTATATAAAAGTAAGAACACTGACGGTAATGGCACAATTTCAAAATGCTGACTAATTCTTTTTAAGTTTCTGCATATCTGGAAGCTGGAATTGTGTGTCCTAATAGAGTGGGACATGACCACAAAATAGGGTATTTGCAAAGCTGTTGGTTCTTTTCAGTATAGAGTAATTAGCATTTTGAATCATGGTGGTGCAGTGGTTAGAATGCAGTACTGCAGGCGACTTCTGCTGATTGCCGGCTGACTGCAATTTGGCAGTTCAAATCTCACCAGGCTCAAGGTTGACTCAGCCTTCCATCCTTCTGAGGTGGGTCAAATGAGGACCAAGATGGTTGGGTGCCATAGGCTCACTCTGTAAACTGCTTAGAGAGGGCTGTAAAGCACTGTGAAGGGGTATATAAGTCTAAATGCTATTGCTATTGCTATTTTAAATGCCGTCAAATTATTTCACTTTTTGTCTCTAGGTCAATGAACTTCAGAACCTGACAGCAGCTGAGGTAGTTGTTCCCCGGGATCAAACCCCTGATGAGAATGAGCAAGTCATTGTCAAAATCATCGGACATTTCTATGCTAGCCAGGTAGCAACTAATACAGATCACTGTGTACTATGCTAACATAGGCTCGTCTAGCATCAGAGTTGATGCTAGACAAGGAGCAGGCAGCTTGTTGTGACATTCATTTTCTCAGCCCCTTTTTGGCAGGAGATCAGCATTCCTTGCTCCTTCAATATTACATTGCATTTCAAAAATAAATAGTGACTAGATCTCTTAAGCCTCAGATAGGTTTGCTGTAGAACTTTACTGGGCAGATAATATAAAAAATGCCCCCAAATCTCATACCATGTCTTTGAAGATGTTATTGCAGCACCACCATGCTCACTTGGCTGCCCCCCAAGTGGTTTTAAAAAGCAGAGACCCCAGCTGCCTTTTTGCTAAGCCGCTAACATTAATTTGGATAAGCCCAGCATGGATGAGAAAAGAGCAATAAAATCTATATTAAATAAAGTTAAATAAACCAACAATTCTTAAAAACTATAACTACACAAATGAAAACAAAGTTAATTTTGAAAAAACAATAAAATAAGCAATTTTCAGCCAAAGGGGTTGTAGAAAAAATGCTTTTAAAAGTTAAAAAAAAAAAGCCTCTGATGATTGTGCGGCTCAGCTGAGCATGCGGGGGGGCCAGGGATTTTTGCTACTGGTTCTCTGAACCACCCGCCTCCCTCGCTACCGGATCGGCCGATCCGATCCGAACCGGGAGCATTTCACTCCTGCCTTAACTCAAGTACAGCTACAGTTAGCACATCAGTAGGAATTAGAAATAGAACCTCCTTGCCACTGGTGCCATCTGATCTCACAAATACTAGCCCAATTGCAGTCTCTAAATTCAACAGATCTTGCACTAATAGTGATGTCTAATGCTGAGCAAGCAATTTTACTTGTTAACAGTCCATTGCAAATAGTTACTGAACTTCTGAGGACTGGCCCAGAGGACTCAGTCCATTATCATAGAAAGCCCTTTTATTTTTTTTTATTTTTTTTTTATTTAAAAAGTTTTACAAATACATTTTCTCCCCAGTTCCCCCCCCCAACCCTCCCTAACCCTCCCCTTTTCCCCCCAAGACTTCTACTAGATAAAATCCTAATCAAAAATACATTTTATGAAACTTAAACCCCTCCACCCCCTGTATACTATTTATACCTTCATAAAACTCAATCTATCCCTACATAATACATTCATACTTTACCAACCCTCTACTCTCCTCCCTGTGCACTATACATTTCTACATAATAAGCTATTTTACCCCCTATAAACTATACATTTCTACACAACATTCAGCTAAAAGCTATCTGATATTTCCTTGTTTGATATTTATTCTGCACATAATCTATCTACTTTTTCCACTCCCATACATAAGTCTCTTGAGTTCGGTCTTTTAGATATACTGAAATCTTCACCATCTCTGCAAAACTGGCCATCTTCAAAGTCCATTCTTCGATAGTGGGCATAGCATCATTTTTCCAATATTGACCTATCAATAATCTCGCTGCTGTCACCATATGCAATATCAGCTTTGTTTCACCCAATGTAAAACCCTTAACTATACCCAATAAAAACAATTGTGGAGAAAACTGAAGTTTTTTCTTCAAAACATTTTGCATAACCCACCAAATTTTTATCCAAAAAGCCTTCACTTTCTTGCAAGTCCACCACATATGATAATATGTGGCATCTAAGCAATCACATCTCCAGCATTTTGGTTGAACATTAGGATACATAATACATAATACATACGATTAGGAACATAATACATAATACATACGATAATTTCTTAGGATCTAAATGCCACCTATAAAACATTTTATAAAAATTTTCCCTCAAATTCTGCGACTGTGTAAATTTAACATTCTGGACCCATATTTTTTCCCATGTTTCCAACATCATTGGTTCTGCAAAATTTTGTGCCCATTTTATCATACAATCTTTAACCAGTTCATTTTCCGAATCTCTTTCTAACAAGACATTATAAACCCTCTTAATGTGCATTGGACCTTTCTCTTTTATATGTCTAATCAATTCTTCTTCATGCATCATTATACCAGTTTTTTGGTCTTCTTTCCATCTCAATTGAGTTGCTGCTTACGATCTTGTGTCATATTTTTAACATGACTAATCATCTTAGTCTTTTTCTGGTTCAGTCTAAATCCTGATATCATACCATATTCTTTTATAATGTCTTTCATCTGAATTATTGATTCCATCGGCTGTGTTAGGGTAACAACCAGATCATCTGCAAATGCCCTGGTCCTATAATCCTCATGCCTAATAGCTATGCCATGTAATGAATTTGAATCCCGTATTGTATTCAACAAGACTTCTAATGTTAGAATAAATAACAATGGGGATAGCGGACAACCTTGTCTTGTTCCTTTTTCAATACTAAAATTTGTAGTCAGACTTCCATTAATAATAATTTGAGCCGTTTGTTGTTGATAAATTGCTGAGACCGCCTGTATAAATTGATCCCCAAAATCCATTTTTCTCAAAGTCTTTAATAGAAAGTTCCAGTCCACTCTATCAAAGGCCTTCTCCGCATCCAAAAACACCAGCACTGCAGATATCTGTTTATTCTTCTCAAGATAGTCCAATAAATTTATTATTTGCCTAACATTATCCTTCATGTATCTGCCTTCTATAAATCCTGCTTGGTCATGATGAATCACCTCTTGAATAACTGGCATTAACCTGTTGGCTAATACTTTTTGCAAAAATTTTGTAATCATTGTTCAGAAGAGATATTGGTCTAAAATTCTCAGATTTTTTAGGACCTGCTTGCTCTTTCGGTATCAATGAAATATAAGCTGCTTTCCATGAAGGAGGTATTTTTCCCCCTTGTTGTATACTACAAAATAAATCTTTAAGATGTTCAATCATTTCTGCTTGTAGAGTTTTATAGTACACCGCAGTTAAACCATCCGTCCCTGGTGCTTTAGCTGTTTTCAATTGTTTAATTGCAGCAATAATCTCCTCAACTGTTATTGGATGGCTCATTCTTTCCTTTTGATCACTAGAAATTTTCATAACTCTTCTTTCTTCCAAATATTTATCTATAAGTCCAGTCTTTATATCGTCTTTAGCATATAATTTGATATAGTAATCTAAGAAAGCTTCTTTGATTAATTTTTGTTGAAAAATTTCCTTCCCTCCACTCTCAATGCTACCAATGACCCGTGTACTCTGACGCTTCCTCAATGTGTAAGCCAGCCATCTGCCCGGTTTATTAGCGTTGCAAAATGTATTATGTTTCACAAATTGTAAGTTAGTTGGTGTTTGTTCCGCCATAAGCATATGAAATTGATCTTTCAAAAGTTTTATGGCTCCTCGTATTCTTTCATCTGTTGGATTTTTTATAAGTAGCTGTTCATTCTTCTTTATCTCTGCTTCCATTTCCAGTCTTTTCTTTTGTCGGTTTAATCCATGTTTAGAATTCATATAAATGAGTACCCCCCTCATATATGCCTTACTCGCATCCCACACAATTTCAATAGGGGTACCCTTATTCAGATTCATTTCAAAAAATTCTTTCATTTGCTTTTTAAGTTCATTTACATTTTTTTCATATCTAAACAAATTTTCATTTACTCTCCATGATCTTCTCTCAGTCTTTCCCATTTCAATTTCTATCCATACCGGGCTATGGTCAGTTAGAGTCCTTGGAAAAATCATTGGTTTTTTGGTTTTTACAAGTAAATCAGATGATAATAAGATAAAATCAATCCTAGAGAAGGATTTGTGCCTGTCTGAGAAGAAAGTAAAGTCCAAATCTTTTGGATTATGTATTCTCCAAATATCTTTCAGTTCCAAATCTTCTTTCATTTCAAAAAAAGTCTGTGGCAATTTAATCCTTGACTTTGCCATACTCTTTTTATCTATTTTGGGATCAATTACTCCATTCCAGTCTCCCATAATTAAAATAGATCTGTAATCCCATTGCAATATTTTAGAATACAATATTTTATAAAAGTTTTCTTGTTGATTAGGAGCATAAATTCCAATCACCAAAATTGGACCATTTTCTGTATGAAGCTCAATTGCTATAAACCTCCCAAAGTCATCTGGTTCTATAATTTTAGCTGACAGTCTTTTATTTATATAAATCACTACTCCATTCTTTTTTTCCGAGTTAGAAGCTATAAATTGTGTTCCTAATCTAGAATTTATTAAGTATTTTTGATCTTGTATTCGAATATGAGTTTCTTGTAGGCAAGTAATATCATTGTTAAACTGTCTCAGATAATTAAATAATTTCTTCCTTTTCTGTGGTGAATTTAGTCCATTCACATTCCAAGATAAAAACTTAATTGTCATCTGGAGCCTCTTGAAGCGATAGGAACATCTGCTGAAGGCTTTCTTCCAAGTTGATAGTCTTCGGCTTAGCTCCCCCCATGGCTTCACGTGCTTGTGTACCCTTAGCTCCCTTCTTGTCTTGTTGTGGCTTGGACCTCTCCTGTTGTTGTTTTTCTTTAATTTGCTTATAAACTGCTCGAGTTATACGCTGATCTTTAGCTTCACACGTCCGGACCAGGTCCAAAGCCACTTCTCTTGTATTCTTAGGTAATCCAGTTACAGTTTCTAGAGGGAGATCTAACAAGGGCTCATTCAGAAATCCCCCTGTAGCTCCCTGCATTTCCATTGCCTCCCGCTCCATCTGTTTACACTGCTCTTCAGTGTAAAGCCCTTTTAGAGAGTTCAAAAAAGATGTGGTAATTGATGAGGACCTTCTATGTTCTAACTTCATAATTGAACTCCATTCAGTTCATTGCTCAAAGTTAAGTGGTAAACCAAGGATATTCCAGTCTTTGTGTAACCAGAGATTGTTCAGTGTCCCTTCTTATTTCATTGTTCTACCTGAACACGAATATATGCTATTGCTTCTGGAAAATCTTCCAAAACATTTGAGAATATTTCTGAAGGCAGACCAACTGAATAACTTCCTTGCCTTTTCAAGGGGACTTGAAGAGATTTAGCCATTGATGATTAAATCTCATAATCTTAGATAATTAAATCTTATAAGAGAGGTGGATTTTCTTAAGAGAATCCATCTGTCTTAAGGCCCATCCACAAGAAAGGTGGATTCTTAAAGCATAAATGACTGGATCACTTCCATTCTGATTTCTCCCCCAAACTGGATTTAGATGAAGTTCTGTACTATGTTTTAGACCTATCATGTTCTGAGATTATCCAATAGCTGAGATGCACTTGAGTGAATAGCCACTGCAGGGATATTGATGTTTCCTGGGATTCTCTATGGTGACTTTAAGAGATTAGCTAGCTGAGGCAAGGAGAACATTGAACAGCAGAGCAGGTGATTCATCAGTGAAATCCTTGCTTTTTGCCTCTGATCCAAAATCAGCCCAAAATTAGTTTTGAAATTCCTGGATAAGACAAAATTCTGATAGATGAGTTCCTCCTCCCTTTTGTGTTTCTGAACTGAGCTGCTGCTGGGCCAAATACCTGGTTGGGCAGAACTGGGTTACATCTCCCGCTGCTGCCACCAAATCTCACAGATGTAAATGAGGCTAGTCTCCCCTTCTTCCAACCTGATTTGGCATTGACCAACAATGTCTCAAGGTAAGAGAGAAGGCCTACATAGTAATCCAAGATAGAGTGATGGGGTAGCAAGGCAGAGCACTATTTTTATCTATACTTTTCTAATGGCATGCTCCCTGCACCCCCATCTCACCACCCAGCCACCCCCAGCCTCTTCACAACCTTATGCATAATATTCTTATATTTAGGTAAAGAAGGGAAATCCAGTAACAATTTATTCCAGACAAAAATATGGTAGTAGTAAATATTCTCTCTGTCTTTCTCTCCCTCCCTCACACACAGACATGCACACACACACACTTAAATTTTTAAAAAAGAAAGATAAAAAGGAACACAAACTAAAGTAAAGTAAACAAAAGAAAAGAAATGGGAAAAAAATAAAAGAAAACTAAAAATGCAAGAAAGGAAAAAACTAAAAGAAATATAGAAAAGAAAAAAGTTACAAAGAAACAACTCCTTATCTTACAGGAATTTTTTTTTTTAATTGAAAAAGTTTTTCAAATACAAATTTTTCCCCCTTTCCCCCCCTCCTCCCTAACCCCCCCTCACCCTCCCCTTCCCCTGTGACTTCTTCATAATAAAACCCATATTCATAACAGATTATATCATACTTTACCATCCACTTACTCCATCTCCATATGCTGACCCTTTCTTTCTAGTAAAATTATCATATCCCCCTTATACTATACTATACTATACATTTCAAAGTGACATTCTATTATAACATTATCTAATAACTCCTGATTTAACATAATATTATATCTCCCAATTTAGCGATTTCCGCTCATAATCTACCCTTTTACTACCCCCCATACGTATATCTCTTAAGTCAAATATTTTATATATATTAATATAACATTTCAAAACAACCTTCCACTATAAGACTATATAGTAAATCCTAATTTAACATTTATTCAATTCAGCTACCCATTTCCTTCCTCCCCATCATTATATCTCTTAGCTCAAATCTTTTACATATATTCACATCTAGACATAATATCCCTTTTCTTTAAACTAAACAATCAATAACCTAACCTATCTCCACCCACTTTCCTACAAAACTACCATATTAATATCTTTATTCTTCTGCCCACTCAACTAGAAAAATATTCCCGTATGTAAATAAAATCCTAAAAAAAAACCTTTAAGCTTGTAATCCATACAATATCTTCTGTAATGTCTTTCAGCTGAATGATAAACTCCATCGCCCATGTTAGGGTAACATCACATCCTAATTCCAACAGTATTTTCAGTATCTTCAATCTTCAATTACCATCTGCCCCCATCCATAACAAATATCTTCATATTGCAAAAAAAAAACACAACAACCACCCGAGTGACTTTATATTTGTATTCCATATAATGTCTATAAAGGTGTCTTTTATCCAGATTATTAATTCCAACCACCATAATAGGGTAACAACCAGATCTTCTGCGTGCCCCAATCCAGTAAATCTCTTGCCATGTAACTCAGCATAAACGTAATATATTTATCAAGAAATCCAAAAAACGAAAAAGATATTTCCAATCCATTCGATTTAAGGCCCTTTTCACATCCCAAAAATTCAGCACTGCAGAGATCTGTCACTCTCCTCAGGAGAAAATAAACCAATACTTTGCCCATTATCTTTTCATTTATTCAGTCCTCTCATAAATAACTGGCATTACACTGTTGTTTAGTTTAAAAGTTTTTGTTTTTGTGAGACCTACTTCTTCTTTTCTTGACTTTTTGTGGGTTGGATCTCCATCCTGAATTCCTTTCTGTAGATTGTGTATCGACTATTTGGTTTTCATGCTGATATATAACTTGATCTTGTTGGTTTTGCTTTTGTGACTTAAATCTTTCTGATTCTGTAAATTGTATATCAACTGATTGACTTCCATGCTGGTTTGTGGCTTGATAAATCATTACATTAGAATTCGGAACAACCTCTCTTATATTAAATAGTCCAGCTGAGACCTCTGAGAGAAAATCCAAAAGCGGCTCATCTGTGGAGACCTCTGTGACTTGTTGTTTCTTCATTACTGCCATCTCCTTCTGCTGTTCTTGAGTTTCTATCTCTTGTTGATTTTGCTTTTTAAGGACCTTGTAGTAAAATTCTTCCGCTTTTTCAACAGTATTTAACTGATATCTTACTCCTTGATATCTCAATATTATACCCACTGGGACATCCCACCTGAATAAAATATTTTGTTTTCTTAGCTCAGTCACCAAAAGTCCAAATTTCTTTCTATCTCTTAACATCTTAGGCGGCAATTCTTTATATATCCAAATTTTTCTCCCATACAGTTGTAAAGTAGAATTAAAGGATTTTTGCACAATATCATTTCTTATTTCTTTATCTGTAAAATAAATCACCACATCTCTAGGCAGTTGCCTTTGCTTTGCAATCCAAGAATTTACTCTATAGGCCTTATCAATTTTACAGGATACCTCCTCAGGATGAACCTTTAAGATCCCAGCCAGAACTTGAGCAGATATTTTTCTTAGGTCATCACTGTTATTTTCCTGTAAGCCTCTGATTCTAATCGCAAATTCTGTCAGCCTGTATTGCATCATTACAACTTCTCTTTCAATCCCTTGCTTTATATCTTCTGCATTATAAGTCTCGTGACCAGCTTCGTCTTTAGACTTTACTCCTAAACTATTGTCTTGAATATTTATTAAATCCTTTTCAATTCTTAGTATTTTGTTGTCCAAATTATAAATCTTATCATCAATTTCCTCCATTTTAGACTCTAGTAATTTAATATTTGTATCCAACTTTATAACAACTTCTGAAAAACCATTAGTCACTGTTACAATCTTTCGTTGCAAGTTATCATACTTTAGTTGTATCATTTCTTTAATTTCCTGCCTTAATTTTTCAAATTTCTGGTTCACAGTCTCATGATATTTTGCCATTTCCTCCTGAAGAAATTCTTTTAAGTTAAAACCATTCTGCAAAGTCTGTAGGCTCAAAGCTTGTTCAAACAGTTGTGAGTGGGGGAGCCCCCCCCCCCCCGCTTGTCTATCAGGCTTTATAAGTTTTAACGCCATCCTGCCAGCAAACTCTTTTTTTTCCCCCAAACAAGATCAAGTACAAATCTCCAAGAAGAAAGGAACTTAAAATAACTAATTTTCTTCCAAATTGTAGCCAGCACTATATATTCCGCTACTTTGTATCTATTACGGAAGGACTCTCACTTTCGGCTTTGTTCTACTTCCCAAGCCTCAGCGGTCGCCATTTTAAAGTTTTTTCCTCTTTCACTCTGAAATGCTTATAAATTCATTAAGGATACTTGCAATTTAGGGTCCCAAGTCCAAGTCTCATCTTTTTTAATAAATCCATCTGTTAAGTTTGTTGATTAATCCGGTTCCAGCGCCTAGCTCTGCAAAAAGTTAGAGTTCTCCCGATGCCCGGAGCGACGGCGAGCAGGAATAGAGAGCCTCAACCTGCTTGTCCCCAAGAGTCAAAAAAAGCCTCTGGGGACTTCGCAGAGGGCTCTACCTGCCCTCGCCTGCTCTGACTCACATTTCCGTCAGGAAATGGAGTTTTTCGAGCCGCCTTTCAGGTGTAAAGGCAGCTCTTTACAGGCAACGGGGCTGGTGGTCACGGAGGACTGTCTGGCGGCGCCGGAAGCCAGACAGGAAGTCCATCTTACAGGAATTTTAAGCAGTCATTCATTTACCTCTTACACTATGGTTACTACATACAACTATCTTGTTTCTATAATACATCGTTTCTAAGCCTCAAAACTATAAATCCTAAATTTGTTTTTTCTGTTTTATGCAAAAAATGGGCTGTAGAAGGGGTTTCAAATCAGCAATAAAGTTGCAAAGTTTGAAAAACACTCATTGGGGAGCATTGGGTTTATAACTGCTTATAATTATGATAAGAAACAAAGAGAAACTTGTAACTACCTAAATTCTTAATTTATTGATAACAGTGTCAATTCATGGGTTTTTTTATCTTAGTTTGGTTCTAAAAGCCACCCATTTGAAACCTAGCTAGTATCCTCCTCTAGAATTGCTGAAATGTAATTACCATAATTCCTAGAGTTAGGAAAGAGTTATTTGTCTTTATCTTCCTTTCCCTCCTCACTCTCCCATTGCTCTTTTTTACCAGATGGCTCAACGCAAAATACGTGATATCCTTGCTCAGGTGAAACAACAGCATCAAAAGGGACAGAACAACCAGACACAAGCACGAAGGAAATAGGAAATGACTTGTACCCGGTGTGTGAAAGAAGAGAGAGAGAGAGAGAGATGGACAAATGGATGAACAACAATGACAATGGATGAAACAAAGCCAAGCAGAAAAGAATGATGATCTATTTCAGAACCCTAAGAGTGGCTGGGATTCAGTTTACCGTAGGCAGGTCTTAGTAATTTTTTGGAGATGGGTGTTTTACTCTATCATGAGCATATACATGTCTGTTTCCATAGAGATGTGGCCTCTCACACAAAGGTATTTTCACACGGTATTCCTTTTTTTGGTGGGGGGGGGATACTTGGTTCAGCAATAAACAAAAAGTTCCTAATCAAATTACTCCTCTGTCAGAATATCAAACTATATAGGATCATGATTTTATCTAGGAAAGCAAGAAGCTTACACTTGGAAGTATGTCATGCTTTACCAGATCAAGGCCAAACTTTTTTAAAAAAACAACCCTTAATGCTTCCTTCCGCAACCACCCCCAGTAGTTTCAGGATATATTTGGGCAACCCTCTCCGTAACATGAATTAGGATTAATGTTTGCATTTGACAAGAGAAGGGCAGAGAATGGAACCAGATTCTTTATAACAGCCTCCTTATCTGATACTTTCCAGATAATTGGCTTCTATGGGATACAGTATTACTTCAAAGGTGCTTTTTTCTTTAAAAGGCAATTAGACTGTTTTTTTCCTTGAGGAGGAACAAGAAAATGTTTTGCTTTTCATCCAAGAAGCTTCATCAGTTGATGGTGGGGGATGGAAGGATAGGTACTGACAAGTTGAGACTTGATGGTGGGGGAGATGGAAGCATAGGTTCTGACAGAATGGGAGGGGGATAGAAAGTTTGTATTCCTTTGCAATCATCTGGTCATTAGAACTATTGAGGCCATTTGGGAGTTTATCTGTGCCCTAATCTAGTGCCCCAATCTAGTTTATCTGTGCTCTAATCTAGTGGCCTCAACTGACAGCTATTGCCATTTGGGAATTTATCTGTGCCCTAAACTAGTGGCCTCAACACCTCAGAGAGTACTAATGACCAAATGACTGCAAAGAAGTACAATCCTTCCATTTTCCCCTCACATCCTATCTGAACCTATCTTTCCACCTCAGCATCCAGTCTCAACTGTCAGTACCTATCCATCTCCCCGCCATCAGAACTGAGGAAGCTTCTTGGATGGAAAGTGAAACACTTCCTTCTTCTTCCTTAAAGAAACAACAGTCAAGTTGCCTTTTGGAGAAAAAAAGCACCTTTGAGACAAGTATGACCCGGATAACTGAGAATCTCCACAGACAGATACAGTATTATATCCTTAAGATTATGAAAGTCAGATGTCAAATTTTTTCCCTATAGTCCTATTAGCATACAGTGGAGCTGTCCATTGTTCTAACCTAGGCTTCCCCCATCTGGACAAGACATTTTGGCTACATTGCCACTATGGGAGAATGAGCTCAAGAATCTGATTGGGTGATTTTCATGTTCCATAGTGTCTGGGAGAAAAGACTGAAGACTGACTCTGGACCTCATATCCATCTCGGCTTTTCAGGAAGGTCATTCAACTTTACATTTAGAATACAGCACAGTTTCTCTCTTAACATCCATATGTCCCCGAGAGGCATCCTGTCACTTTAAAAATGTTTTGAACATCTAGAATTCATTCTACATGTTAATATGACATCTTTTCCCCCACTTCCTTGGAAGTTGTCAAAATATGAGGAAAGATTACATTCTTCAAATTGGCTGCATGTTTCAATTGTCCTAAAAGCTTATAAAAATGGGGAGAAAAAATAAACAAATTTGACTTTTTGGTACTCTCTCCTGGAATGGTGCACTGGCTCAATTCAGAAATTTATACCAAATCATGAATTGTGGGACTCCATAGTTTAGAATTCAAGCTATTTTTTAATTTAAAATCTACGCCATGATTTGATATTCCTAATATGTAGGTAATTCATGGTCAGGATTCATACAACAGGCCAAGCTAGATGAAAACACTAACTTGGTGTACTCTGTAAATTCATCGAAATTGTGATTAATACATTTAAGAGTTTTGTCCAAAGAAGGAAATTTGGTTCATTCAGTAAATCCTTCTTAAATTACTGTGGGTCTTTGTGTTGTCCACATATAACTATTTATTTATTTACCTGCTTTCCATTGTTACTACTATATTTTTTATAATATGGCATGGTCTTAAAATCTTTTTACCTGATAAACCACCTCAAAATTGATCCTGCAAATTTATTTTTAGCCTGGGTTTCTGATTTTTGTATGTTTGGCAAATAACAAAACATGATTTTATTACAAAGGAGTTTTGTATGATATCTGAATTGAGCCAGGTTGATCCTTAATTGAGAAATAAATAGCACATCTGTCTATCCGTCTCTCTTCCTCTCCCCTTCCCCTAGTCCTTCTAAATATTTTAATTTGTTAAGCCAGAAAAAGTATTGAAATAATTAGAAAATCAATCAGTGAGGAATATGCTTTAATCCACCTAAGATGTATATTCTTAATGAACAATCCTATTTGAATGAGATGGTCAACGGAAGACAAAAATTGTGGCAAGTGGCCATAGAGTTTTAATTCTCTTGAACTATTAAGTCGTCAGATTCAGATTATTTCCAGTTCAATGGATAAAGTGGCTTTACTTTTCGTTTTGTCCAGTACCCTCTCTCCTAATTTGGTATGTACATGTTTTGACATGTAAATCCAAGCCACAGTAAAATCCCTATTCCAGGCAGACACAAATGAAAATCCTATTCCTATTTCACCAGTGTTTAACATTTTAACATTTCAGGACTTTTACTTCTTCCTGTGGTTAGTACACTGAATGTTTTCAGATGAAGTTAAACACTCTGTTAAAATAAGTGTGATTTAGGATTCACTTTTAGATTCTGGAAGATGTATAGTTTTCCCCAATCTGTTGTTCTCCTGATGCATTCAATTTCAGCTCCAATACTTCCTAACTAGTATTTTGTTGGTTGGGAAATTCTGAGGGTTGAAGCCAAACATATTTGGAAGGTGCAAGATTGGGGAAAAGTGCTTTACATGAATTTTAAAGTCGATACTATGAAGCAATGAATTGTGAACTGCAGTGTAAAGACAAATAGCATTTAGATCTCCCTCAGTTCAGCCTTTCCCCAATGGTAAATCAACTTGCCCTTGACTTCTACTGAACAGAAATTGCAATTACTGCTGTATGATCTCTAGCAAATGACCTGTAGTTGCTATATTTGGAGAGGTTGCAGCCATCTCACTTTAATTGTTGAATGGCGGCTTTAGATAAAGTAGCAAGAGGTCTGCCAGTCTTGGAGAATCTCAGCCTCAAAAGCGTTGTCTATTTAGCTGTCATTTGAAAATGCCCCATTCTCTTTCTGATTGCCAGTTTCCATGGCTTCCTCTGTCCATGTAATTACTGCTTCCTCCTCCTCCCAAAATCAGTGGAGAGTAAAAATACAATATATGCGTAAGTGTTTGGGGTACATTACATGTACCTGGCTTTTAAACACATTTTTAGGGGAAGTGTGGGACAGTACATTGGTTACAAAAGAAAGATATACCTCAAGGCTACTTGCCATATAGATTTCACAATCAAAGGACTTTAGAATGTAGCAGCCCAGGTCCTTTTTTTCCCGAGAATGGTCAGGGCTCCTGTCCACTTTAGAAGCTTCTCACATGAGACCGTGTTACGCTGCTGGGAAAGATTAAAGACAGGGGACATGACTTGCTATATTTCCTCCAGAGTTTTAATAACATCAGAAATTATTTCTTTTCATATGTTATCCTACCTTTAGAAGAACCTCAGTGCTTAGTCATACCAAAAAGGAGGAGGAGGAGTTCCTGTCTTGATACAGAGAATAACAAAAGGCTTACAAATTGGTGCACTAAAAACTGTGGCCTATTTATGAAAAGCGCCTTTAATGCAGGCACTCTTGGAGTTGTTTCTGGGTGACTTTTCTCTAGGGAGCAGGCTTCCCCATACTTGAATGAGTGAAGATACACAGAACATCATCTCTGAGTTGGAGCAAATAATTACTTCATTGATCTTAACTATGAGATTAAAATGGATGATTTACCAGCACAACCTTACACCTTGGGCATTGAATTCCAAGTATGTACTGGATTGCACTGTAAAGGATTTAAACCCCAGATTAAAATTAGTGCCAGTTTATCTCTGTAGAAGACAAACCAATGTGTCAGATAATCCCCAGAAAAGGAACTAATTACCTCCAGAGGGAATGAAAGAAATAGCAAGCATGCATAGAGAAATTGCTGTTTCTTTTTCGGCTTGGAGGAAAAAAAACAATGGGGCCTAAAAATGAAACCAAAAGTGATTTTAATGAAAAAATTGGTGTGATTAAAATAATAGCAAACAACCCCCTAATTTTGAAATACTTGTATATATTTTTTTCTGCCACAAAGTTACTGATTTTCTTTAGGAGGCGATACCAAATATAGACATCAAAAGAATGTAATATGGTTACTAATCCCAGTCACTCTTATGCAAATTTTAAAAAGAAAAAAAAATATGTAAAATATTTACAATGGGTTTTTAGAATTTATGAAGAGCAGCAACTGCTCACCTGGCAGCCTGAGCCCAGAACAAAGTTTTGTCTCTGCATCGACTTGGGCATCAATTAAACTGTTCCTCTGAGGATAAGTTATTTTCCCCAACAGAGCCTTGAATCCTTACAACCAGCACTAATATAACAGGGAATTGATTTGAAACAGTCCACCCAGCGAAAAAACTCTTGCATCCTTATCTACCTCAAGGCAGTTTGATCGGTGGACATGGAAAGCTGTTTGCCCAGAGTGGTCATTACATACCCTGGAAAGCAACAAATTGTATACTTTTGCCAAATTAATGGAAAAATCAAGTTAATGGTTTGAATTTCATTCAGTGGCTGCAAAAGCCCTGTTGATTTCAATATGGACATTCTGTTTTACGTGGATTCCTGAGTGTTAGGTCTCTTAAAAATGTTAATGAAATAACTTGACACTTGGCAGCGATTCAAGGCATGGAAATTGTAAACATTAATTCATTTGATTACAGATGTATTGACATAGAGTGCAATCATGTTGCATTCTAATTTTGTAATTTCTTTCTTTAAAAAGGAAATAAGTAACAATATGGGGCAAATTATCCCTCTTTGTCTTGATATATTTATATCTTAGCAGAGACAAGACTTTTGTTATATATTGACTCATCGATTGTCCAGGTTTAAAATGTTTTTGCAACTGGGCTGTTTGTGACAACTGCAAATCCAGGTCCAGTGTATTTCCATATGCCTGTTACCCGAATGACATCTTTGAATTGAAGCTGAAGTGGCTGCATGGATCTTGCTGTTTACACTGAAGCAGCTGCTTTCCTTTTTTTCTGAAACCTTGCAAGGACGGGCATGTACAGAAATGTCAGGCATTGCTTTGTGTTTTAAGGGAAAGGAGGAAAAAAAAGAAGAAAAAAGAAATGAGAGAATAATGGAGGGGAAAAGCTACCTCAAGGTATGAAGTTACCTCAACAATTGTTTTGTTTTTTGGGCTTGCTGATATTTTATATAAAAGCTGATAGTCTTGAATATTTTATTTTTTTAATGAAAAGAGAAGTTACGTTTCCTAATTTCTAATGAGCCAGAAGTTATTATGCAGGTCGGAAATGTTACAAGCTCTTTATGGAGAACTGCAGAGACTTCAGATGTAGCGGAAAAGACGGCAGATTTTTCCCACTCTCAAATTTGCAGCTTAATTTTATTTATATCTAAAATTCAAATTATAAATTCTGTCCGCTCAAAAATTTGGCAAAATTAAAACCTGTGTATTTCAATGTCAGTGTCCAAGTTGTTAGCATTTGTGTGAAAAGAAGCAGCTGTCTAAAAGACAAAGTAATATGGCAATCTTGAGGGCGTAAATTGGCTAATTCTACTTAAATATATTTAATTTGGAAATTAGGGATAGTTGATATCATTCTGTGGCAGTTGGAATTCAGATTTATGATTTTCTCTTTGGCTGATTATCTGGTTTATTAAAGCTGGGGTTTCTTTCACATATTTTTCAACACTTGGGGTTGCTCAAATGCTGTTTGTGCAGAAAATGGCATTATGAGAACAAAAAGGAGACAAATCTCATGAAAGTGATTTGTCCATTGGATCATGCAAAAGAGATATTAGCATCTCAAATATTGAACTACAGTACATTTATACAAAGAAATTTGTGATAGATCACTAGAAACATATGAATGATTTTTGCATATCCTTTGCGTGTTGAAACTAAATGAAGTGTGTTTAGGATTGGAAAGCCACAGATGAGGTTTTTTTAATGAAAAGTTACAAAAATATTCAGGAATTAGGAATTACTCAGTTGAGATACATTCTTGTGTTTGCATTCACTTGACCGTCTTTTCCGCTATGTTACTGTGAAATATTCTACAAAGATTACCTCAGTTTTACTGAGGAGAAGCAGACCATTATTTTTTTTAGAAAAAGAAAAGAAATGGGAGCCAAACTTTCTTGTGGCTTTTTGTACATTCTTCTTGAGAAGCTGCAACTCTAATTGCCACTCTTTGAAAAGTATGGAGCTGGGCAGGTTTAAACATTGAATTTGTTTTATATTCCATTGCACTTGGAACAGATAACCCTCTCTACACGTAATTTTAAAAAGCAGTGGTTGTAAATGGATTCACAAATGATTGTCTTAAAATTATTCTGACCCGGAAGCTCTCCAGCCAAATGCAAACTGGGTTCTTGAGAGATCAGATATATTGTTCTTAAAAAGTCACTATCATTTTCCTGTAGAGATTGGAGTTTGGGATGAGTTGAAAGCCCCAATGCCTCTCCCCCTGCTTTCCTAGTTGGAAAACATTGGTGTTCCTATCAAAACTTTTCTCATCCTTCATAAATAAAGACAGTTGCAAAATACTGTCTATTTAAGACAGTATGGACTATACTGTAATGAACTATAAGTTAAGAAGAGTGGGATAAAAAGAATACTACCTCTAATGCTCTTGTCCCCACAGGAAAAGATGTAGGGCAAAATGTAGGTTTCCTTTCTTGAAGATCTCTGACTTCTCTTACTTTTAATACAGACTTGCATAGATCAGGATTTTTAAAATTATTATAATTCAGACATCAGCCATAGCAAATAAGTTGGCTTTTTTCCTCAGCAGCAAGCAATTTTTGGTATTCTTTGAAAGGAATGGCGTGGGTGGGAAAACATTCTCCCCTCTCTCCTCTAGTGCTCTTAGCATCTAAATGTTGCTGTGTTTTCTTTTTTAAAATTCCAGCTATATGAAGTGTTTGGAGTGAAAACATCTTGCATTATCCAAATGAGCATAACGTTATTCAAAGGGTAGGCAGTTTTAACAGCCTGGCTTTAGGGTTCAAGCTGTAGGCATTACATGAATCCTATTAACATTCAAGAGGATTTCAGTTGCCTTGAATAGGAGGCCTTTGTCCTACTGAGGGTGCATCTGTTCTTATTCATCTATTAAGTGGAAATGATGATGCAGTGGTTGAGTACGATACAAAGGTTGGAGGTGGTTGTGATTATTTTTTAAAAAATGTGCAGTCATTAACATTTGATCCTGCCACACCGTGATAGTGGCTCCTTTGCCATCGAATTGTGAGTTTTGCAGACATTTCTCATTTTGAATTGGATCTTTGAACACTTGTGTTAATGCCAATGTAACTATCAAACTCTACTGGATGCAGTGTTCTGCTCTCGAGGCTTCAGATGAGATTAGGAACTCAGGGTTTGGCTCTTATTATCAGCACTTATAGCTTCTCCCTCAGCATCTCAATTTGCTGCTATTTTCTGCCATTGTTTCCACATTTCTAGTGTCCAAAAAAGATCAGTATATAGTAACTGAGACAAATGTTGGCCTTAAACTCCACCACTTTCTTTCAGTTTACAATGTGTATATGTCCATGTTGGTGAGGGATGATGGGAATATACTCATCAAGAAGTATGTAGATGGACATACATACTTGCAGCTTTATATCAATGGTAAGCAAAAAAAGACTTATCTGAAAGTGGCTCAGAGAAAATCAGTAACAAGTCGTCTTTTTGTAAAAGATTACTTGACAAGCCAATAAAATTGAATCCTTATAAACAGAAAACAAATCTTAATTCCACAATACTTCAGCTATCTCTGTGAACTTAATCTGGATAGTTGGATGGGTTTCATCTTGTTCATCAGAAAAGTCTAGAAAGACAACATTGTGACTTAGGTTTGATTGGATTTAACTGGATCATCTGTAGCAGCCTTTTGTTTTCTCCAGATGTGTTGGACTAATGGCTATAATCCCTCAAGCAATTTGTCTGCTGGTTGGGGATTGTAGAGATTGAAATTCTACACATCTGGGGAGCAACAGATTAAGAAAATTACTTCAAGGTGTTGCTGTGTAGTTAATGTCCCGTTATAAATCATGTTGATGGCTTGTGTTTTTGGTCTAGGTCTACTCCATCGTAACCTCCTGTCTGATAGCATTAAATCACTTTAGCCGCTAAGAAGTTAGCATATGGTGATGTGGAAAAGGCCTTTCAAAAATCACTTTTGAGTTACAACGAACTAATAAGGACTCTCTCCCCAGGATTTCACGTAATTGATTTTCTTTCCTCAAAAGGCTTACTATAATTGAAGGAGAAAGGAGGAGCAAGACAGTGGAAAGGCAGAAAGTCTCAGGAGGATAAGCTTCAAGGGGTTGTGAGGGCAGGTAAGAGAGCTATGTGACACAAATGACCTAATATTATTGGACCTTCTATGCTGATGTATGCATGTTTTAAGAACATGTGTTACATAGGCTGTCTCAGGAGGCTTAGAAATTTTAAAATTTCTAAACTTGGAATGTTATACATAACGAGAATCTTATTTGGAACCGTGTTTTGATTGCACTTCACTTAAGTTGACTTGGAACCAAATCCAGAATATATTTAAATAGGTGCAGTGTTTTTGGAATCCAAGATTCAACATATGTGAATGAATGTTAAATTACGCCTTCTGAAAAATTTTCAAGTTTTTCCAGAGTTAGACTTTCCAAAGAGATTAACATGCACAAAAATCTTCACATTAGTTGCTTTACAATTAAAACTAAAATCTTAGAAACTCTATCCAAAGCAACAAAGAAGGAATTGGATCAATCCATTTGGAGGAAGACTCATCTAAACTGATGTAGGAAATGACATGAGATTTTTTTAAAAAAGAGATGTATATCTCGTATTTCCAAAATAATAATAATGAAGTGTAAAAGACTCCGTTACAATTTTAGTTCTTCAGTGATGTACAAGGAAGAATATAATGATAGTTTGTGTAGTGGGTAAGGGCTTCACTTTGCTGCATGGTCTGACCATTTTAATTCTGCCTTTAGGGATGCTCTTGATATTTTTTGAATTGTTGACAGTAGCTCCATGGTTTTGGACAAGGTCCTTGTCCAATCTTATTTAGAGATGCCTAAATTGAATGAAGCATTTTTTTTGTGTGTATACTTGACCATGGAGATTCTATCTTTCTCATTCCCATTCCAGTACAATAATACTCTATGCATCCAGGTTTTTAGAATATTAATTTTACACATTTCCTCCAATTTGTTGGACTTAGTAGATATTCATATTGTTATATGCAGTTAGCATATGCAATTTTATTTGGCAAGGTTTCTATGTTACTCAGTTTTTTTTTCTTGAAATGAAATATCATCTGAAATTTTAAGGTCTACAGATAAGTTAATGCTCAGGTTTAAATTTTAAAATTCTCTCCAATTTCCTTAATACACAGTGCCACAAACCCAGGACTTTTTATGCCACTATATGCTCAAAGGTAGCCATTCCCCCAATATCAACATACTTCAATAAGAATTTCAGATGAAATCGGTCAATTGCCGACTGACATAATAATAATAAACAGAAGGAGGATAAAAAGTTTTATTTGGATGCAACAGTCATAGAAATGGGCAGAGAGTTATAAAACGGAGAGAATTGGATTTACAAATGGATGGATCTATAGGTTTTCTAAAGAAATTCTCAAAATTTCTTGTCAAGTTCTGTGATCATTGCATGTGACACAAAGTATTATTTTCAGAGGAATGCTTTTCTTTGCAAGCCTCGTTGTAATTTATGAGCTCTACAAAAAGATCTAAATCAGTAGTGCTTGTGCTGGCTGGGGCCTCATTAGTAATTCTGATCCTTTTGTATCTTCCTGCCAGTCTTATTTAGGGAGACCCTCAGTAGGGTTTTGCTGCCCCAACCTGGAGATAACAGGCAACTACCCCTGATTTGCAGCTCTCCCAGAGCAGCCAAAAGCATTAGATTTACATTTTGAGGAAAATGACATTTGAAAGAGACTTAGAGTGCTGGTGCATCTTTTCCACCAAAGCACAAATTCTGTAGACACCCAAAAGATTTGTATGTAAAGGCATATTGGAGTTTACTAAGACAGTTTTCAAACAAGATGATCCATAAAAGCAAAACATTTCCATCTGTACAGCTGGTGAATCCAGGAATTGTTTCATGACTGCTGCACTTCTGAATTAGCATGGCTGTGAGGTAAGTAGGAGGAGAAGTCATGCTGTGTGTAGCCAAGGGACGGCTACCAATCATTTTTACTCAGCAGTAGTTTATCAGTTGCTGAAATTCATGTTATGCTTCATGCTGGCTTGTTGTACAAGCTATGCTATTTTATTTCTTAGATAATACTAAGCCATAAATCAGATTACAACTATAATGCCTGGTTTCACACACATCATAATACATCAAATTGAAACAAGTAACATGTCTTAGTGCAATGTGCAGACACAGCCAAAGTATGTGTTTGAACCATATACGAAGCTAGTAATTTATAATGCCTGGCTTATGAAATGGTTACATTTGCAGGCTATAAATTGCTATCTTTTTGCACAGCTTTTTAAAAACCAACCCACTCTTTAAAAGCACCCTATTCCCACACTTGATTTAACATCGATTTGAATCCTGATGCTTTATTACAGGATCTTATTTTTAAACTTTGACTTTTTCAAAGATAAAATACCTCTCCAACTTGGTTGTTGGTGTACAGGCACAACAGGGCAACCGCTTTAGGCATTGTATTTTTGTTTGTTTCTTTAAAGCCTTGTCCTTCTGTGACAGTGGGGTTGGCTTTCCTGAAGAAGTTTATATGTTTAGCAATTTTCCCTGTTCCTGTGATGACATTTATAATATGGAGTGGCTGTGATTGTTCAGTTAAGCAGTTGCTAAAGGGAGTGTGTTGGATGGAGATGGTCCTAACTCCCTAACTGAAGCAGGCTTTTCTGATTTGTTCAATTTAAAAGGAATAGAAAAATGAAAAGGACATTCTTCCCATGAAATTAAATAACTTTCAGATCAATTTATTTTGAGCTTTTAATTAACTGTATTTAATGAAATTTCTGATTGATAGCATCAGCAAACATTAGATTTCCTTCTAAGAAGAAGGGAAAAACATGTCTACATAAACCTCAAAAGACTATAGGCATTTATTAATGAAAAATATGTTTTTCTTTAGCTGTTATTTGCCTTCTAAGGGTAATGTAATGAGCTAATGCTGTAAGCTGTGTGCTTTGGATATTAATTTCCTAAAGGAAGTATAATTAAAATCTCTAACTTCTGTACAAATTTAATCCTTGCAGCATGAACCAGGGAGTTAGATCCAGACTAAGTAAGTCCATTGAAATTGATGGGATTTAAGTTAGATTCAGTGTAACTACCACTGATTTAATATTTTTGCTTTATGCATAGCAACTCAAGCTGTTTGGACCCAGCTTGGAATCAACTCAGATTCTAATTTTTACTTGAAAAGGTGAGCTTAAAGAAGAGTTCTACCAATGTAGAAGCTCACTTCTGTTTTTTAACACTGTCTGTTACAGATACTTTTCAGCAATAGGAATTCAAGCCATGTCCTTCACTCTCTATAATCACAGCCATTCCATTCATTACATGTTAATCATGAGCCAGAGATAATATCTCCTGGTTTAGTTCAGGTTGGGTGCCACTAAATCATAAGACAGTCCTCCCAACCTCTCATTGGTACCCTGTTAAGTGCCTGTTGAGCTGCACTTCATGTCAGCCTAAGGGCATGATGACCATATATACATACATATGATATGAATATAACCAATTCATGTTTGTTTTATCTACCTCTTAGCACCTATAGATTTAAATAAATAATTAGGTAGTTATAATACAACATACTATGTAGTCTAGGGAGAAAAAAAATCCCCCCCCCCAAATAATCGTTCTGCTTAAAATGTTGTTTTTTTTTTTTTTAAATAGAACTAAGGGCGCTCTCTGCATTCTAAAGCAGTCTTGGTAAGATACAGAGGGCTATGGAATTATGGGCAAGAGGTTTGGTTTCTGCATTGCTGGTAAGTAGATAGTGTGCTGGCCATATGTCTTAACAAAGCCAACACTCTCCAATGCAGCTTAGTCAGCTCAGTAGGTACCCGCATTGGGGTTCCTGCCCTGGAATCAATGGATGAGCTCTTTGCCCTAATCCAGTGAGCAATGGAGGCAGCCAAAAGCTGCCCAAGCATGGCTGATGCATGTGGAGCTTGCAACAAAACACAGTTCTCTTACAATCAAAGCAGGACTGCTGGGTACATGCCTGGTATTGTGGATTGTTGATCTGTGGAAACCTGATCTACAGATAGATTTTATGTTTGTTCGATCCGGAATCCTGATTTTCCCAAGCCTTAGAATTTCCAGTCTGTAAAATGGGTCTCTCTTTACCTTGTTGAATTGATTTGAAGACAAAAACAGAGACTGGAAAGCAGTTTGCTTACTGTGAGCACTGCCAGAAAGAACTTATGCCTACAAGCTAGTGAAATAAAGCTAGGAAGAATTGCTTGGATTCCACTGAGGCTGCATTACCACCATTACAGATGATCAACCTTGATTTTTGAAGTGTTTGTTAGTTTGTAAGAACCCCAACACCTCAGTCATTCTTTCCCTCCTTTAATGACTTTTTAAATATATATATATATATCCACACACATACACACACACATTTCTTCCTTCTTTTTCCTAATAATTCATATCAGAACTCATGTGTACCATTTTCTTTCAACGTTCTTAGCATAAGTGCTGACCAGCTTACACAACTATCAGTGTTTAATTGAAATTGTGCCTTAGACACACAAGTGCGTGGTCTTTTGTAACTCTTTTATACCCTCCTTCAATAATGCTGGACAACCTTGTTGCATTTTTTTTTTTGAAAAAAGTTGTTTTATTGGCAGTTTATCAAATTAACACAGTAGAAGGAATCATAAGGGCTGTTTTATTGAATGAATGACCTAGGTTACTATTAATCTAAACTAACATTTTGTTTCAAGTGACAAGAGAAACTGGTAGCTCATTGCAAATTGTTTCGGTAATTTGCCAATCCTTATTGCTCGCTGTCATCATCTGATTCATTGCCTCAGAAGATGGAGGTTCAGTAGAATTTCCTTGATGCATGGTTGTTCCCATGAATTTCTGTAATCTTTTAAAACATATTTGTGGCTAATGAAGAAAAAAATCTTACATCTTCCATTGGTGTAAAACTATTTTGTTACTCTATGTCAATGTCTCTCAACTTCAGTCAGTTTAAGAAGCGTGAACCTTAACTCCCAGAATTCCCCAGCCTTGTGGCATCTTAAAGTGGCTGAGATTGAGAAACAATGCTTTTGGACCTTATCTTCTGTTAGAATAATCAGTTGCTACAAATGTATTAGACAAATCACTTTTATGTAAAACAAATAACTTGTGTGAATTTGGAAAGAAAATTTTGCTCCATGTAATGATTTTGTGAAATGTGTCAGACCTTATGTTCTAAGCCATTGAAACTATTATGAATTCAGCCCCTGAAAATTGTATTCTTGAGTAATTGTTTTTCTCTCTTTGGTCCGCTGTATTTTTAAAAAAACTTTCTCTGCTTAATTTTCTTTTTTTTAAATTTCTGTTCTTTGACCCCTTGTCTTTTGCATGAGGCAGGTTAGTTGGCTCAGATCCAAAGTTGTGATTATGGATGGACACTGGCTCCATTTTTCTTCCAGCTTGTTTACTGCCACAAACTGCTTTACTCCACTGTTTCATTTTTTTAAATAAAAAGGAGGAAAAAATCCATTTGCTCTCTGTTTTCCATGAGTAATTATTTCCACATTTTATTTAGGTAATTAAGTGTTATTAAAATCCATGTTCTGAGTGGGTGGTGTAGCGAAACCAAAAATCAGAGAAGAGTGGCTTGCCGAAGACATCATGAAGATGATTGAAAACGAAATTGAGAACAGAGATCTCTTGATTTGTAGTTTTTAGTTGTTCCTTGTTTTTCAAAAGTTGCAAAATTTCCAGAATCCAAATCATCCTATAATTTCTAGGTAGATAGTTGGGTAAGACACTTCTCTTTAACAACAACAAAAAGATTTATACCAAATTTCCACAATTTGCGTAAAAAGTATAGTACACACACACACATACATACACACACACTCCTTCCCCAGTGTAATTGGACTCGTAAATCAGGAAAGAATGCTAAGAACGTACAGATAGAAGGATTGTAGATTCATATTGTTTACAGTGGAACAACATAGCACATAGCAATGAGAACCGTACAGATAGTCCTCAATTTACGACCACAATTGAGCCCAAAATTTCCATTGCTAATTGATAGTTGTTAAGTGAGTCTTGTCCTGTTTTACAACCTTTCTTGCCATAGTTAAGTTGGTTACACTGAATACCTGGTATTCGGGTTATTCTGAATTTGACACATTGACATATTCAATGTGAACATTTTTTAGGCTGCAACAAGACTTTTGTTACTTTAGAATAAGAACATGGTGATTTTTGAAGAATGCATATGACAAATCTTTGTAGGAATATTGACAAAAATTAATCGAAAAAATCAAAGGGAAAACTAGAGAGCAAAAGATGGTAAATAAATATTCTCATTAGTTGTATAATTTACCTAGGAATAGAAAACATATCCTAACTTGATGTTCTATGGACAAAAAGCTTGACCTCACTAAAGGGAGGGGAGGAGAAATAGTTTCCACCCGTTGCTTTTAGGCTACTTGTTTTGATAAACTTTTCTTTAAAAAAAAATATGCAGGTACAAAAACAGCAAACCAGATGGAACTTAATCCAGTGCTGAGCTTCATATTACACAGAATCTGGCAACAAACTCAGTCCCCTTCTCAATTTCCAAGACAGAATTTGCATGAAATGATTACTTTTAACCATGGTTTGTTTCAGTAATAGCCAGGTTCTATCCAATCATGGTTTACAATGCTTTGACTTACACCTATAATGGGGCAAAACTCAACAAGTCTCACTTAGCAATAGAAATTTTGGCTTCAGTTATGTAAGTCAAGAACTGTCTGTACACCAAAGTTTTTGGGACGATCTTTCAGCAGTTTCCTTCTCATCAGCAACTCAAGACTGGCTAACCTCTTGACTCCTCCCCTTAACTCAACTCTGGATTCCACTTTATATCCTAGTTCAATATTTTAATCACTGCACCAGGCTAGTAATATTTGTCAATTTTTAAAAACTTAATTGTAAACTGCTAAATATTTCTGATTCCTTAATGCCCAAAATATTAGAAATAAAACAGTTAATATCTATAGTTAACATCAGGAATAAGAAGCCTGGTTGGTCAAGCAAGAGGTTGGCCTTCCAATCTTCCCCAAAAGATTAGCCGTAAGATTGAGTAAGACAGTTTCAACTCCACAACCCACTCTAAAATCACTCTGAAATGGAACAAAAAGACTTTCCCTTTATCTGGTCATGGAAGGTTAGAAATTGGCCTTTAATTGCCAATCTCCAGGAGATTCAATGCAGAACAATTTAGAAGCAGTCTAATAACCACATCCTTTAAACACTGAGGTATTCTGCCCTTTTCCAGAGAGGCATTTAATACATTGTACAAGGCATCTCTAATAGCCTCCTAACTAGAAATTGCAAGCAACCTTGGACAAAGCCCAAGGGTAGAATGTACATCTCCAATTAGACTGTTCAATATTATAGTGTGTATTCACAAGTAAACAATAGCGGCCTAAGAATTTCCTGAATAGTGATGTGTTCATCTTAAAAGAAAAAGACAAAGGCCATTTTAATTCTCCATGTACAAATGAGACACCTGCAGATTTGAAGGAATAATTTGAAGAATTATTTAAAACTATTTAAAAAGTAAAGAGCAAATTTAAAGAGAATGGGATTGAATAGAAATAGTGGGTACAGGCTATCAGGTTGTCGCAAGAATTTGCATATTGTTAAATATATAAAGATCTGGAAGAAAGGAAATTTTTTTCTATTAGAACTTAGAGAAGATTCACAAAGTACATTAAAAACCGTCATTTTTTGATGAAATCTGTAAAACACTAAATTTTCAAGAGATTTTCAAGTACAACTCCTAAAACAAAATAATTAAAAGTTGCTGAATTCATTTCAAAACTATTCAGACTTGGAGGATTCAATCAGTGTTTTGTATAGCATTTCATTCTGTTCTTAAAGTAATGTAAGGACAGTTTAAACGTAACTTCTTTCTCAGAGTTATACCGAAATCTAGCATACAACTTTTCAATATTAACTTCTTTTATGTTGGTGGAAATTTGCTGTGTCTGGTGACCAATGATTACATCATTGCAGGAGCCAACCCGCAAGCTTCCAAACCCATCCATAAAATATTCTGGAAAGAGAGAAACAGAGAGAGGCACCCATATGTTAATTATACAAAGCATTTAAGAAAAAATAGCATGCAAGAATTGCATTTATTCTTGTCTTCCTCATAGAGGAGGTGTTTAGAAGAAAGTGGAATCCTCCCAGAAGTCCTATGGGATGAACACAAATGCTAGAAAGGGAAAAGTTATCTTTTCATGAATGCTTCTCCTTATTTTCAACCACAATCGCACAAGGAATTGTCCACTTCAAGGAGTTCCTACTCCAGAATTGATTCTGCTACAGAAGTCCCTTCTCAGTAGTATGAGAGCAGGGCTAGCATGATCTCCATGTTTACATATATTCCCTCTATATAAATACAAAGCTTTTATTTTCATGGAATCAAAAATAACTATAAGTAAATTCTGTGTGGCAGCCTGATTACACAGTTGTTTTAAAAATAAAAGACACGGATTAATGAACTATTGATACCATAAATTTACCTTTTTATCGGAAAATCATTTTATAGAATTGTTGAGGATCAGAATCTGCTCATAACAAAAAGTCAAAAATTCAAAATAAAATTTGAAAGATCTTGAGCCTCAGAAGTAAATATTTGCATCTCTCTCTCCCTCTCTCTCTAGTTGATTTCTATAGCCACTCACCTCAACAAGTGATTCTAGGTGATGTATACCATAAAAATTTAGCATTTGTTCTGATAATATTTGTCAATAGATTTTTAAACATGAATTAGCCTCCTCACAAGTATTTTCAAAACAAGATTATAATTTAAAAGATATAAAAGCTAAATTAGAGTTTTCTTCCTGATCTGAATAAGACAGGAATGAAATTTGGAGGATGGTACAGACTTAGGAAATTATCTGGAAGTAATGCTATGAATGAATCTCACATGAACTAATCACCTTTCTGCTGTCATTTTAAAAAGCCATTACATTATAAAGAGTCAATTCATTAAAATTAATTAAGTTCTCTAAAGCAACAGTATCTCTTCTTCAGGAGAAGAAGCCTGGAACAAATGGGCTACCTTAAATGAATAGCTGAAAGATGTTACGCTTGTGTGAACTCTGAAGTACTCTTCCTGAATCAGTATTGAAGGCTGTGTAGTTCTGAAATATTGTAGTTTGAGCTTTCTGTGAGCAAGGTATGCAAACAAACCCAGAATGCAGTATGATTTATCTGCTGAAAAGGATTTTAGCCCCAAACATAATTAAATGGAGGAGAATTTGTCCTTACCTAAATGAGCCACCCTCTGTAGCTTAGGATCAAATCCAACCTGCCTGCTTTCCTCTGCATGAGCCAGGAAGAAATTGACTACACCGCTAGTCACGACACAGTTGGGAAAGCCTTCCAAGTGATGATAGAAGCCACTTCTGACGTGCAAACAGCTGCTATCTTCTCCTTCCTGATAGAACATCTTAAACTTATAGTCATTTCCATCCACACTGCCTCCAACCTGTAAACCATATAAATTTGTTTTAGACTTCAGTCTTGCTCTCATTGCTTTTTGGTGTATACATTTTTAAAGATGCAAAGAATAGAAATGCTTTTCTAGGCAAACTCTGGGGTCCCATGCAATTTCAGCAGAGGATATTTCAGTGAAATTGGCAAATTCTTTAATCTTGTCTACCGCATCTTGACATTCCCTGGCATAGACAAAAGTATGAAAGTCTCTCTGTATGACACCAACAGACTAAACTATAACAGAAGAGGAGCAGTGACATGAATGTCCTACCACATCCAAGTTGGTGTTCTCCAATACATCCACAAATTTCTCGATCTTTGTTTTTTCAGTGAAGATGAAGTCATCATCTACCCAAAGATAATATTTGGTTGTGACCTGTGAGATTGCAAGGTTCCTCCCTGCAAACCAGCCCTGAGTAAAAATCCAAAAAAGAGAGTCAGAAAATGTAGATTAGGAATTAATTCAAATGCTGAGAAACTCCAGATATGGAAAGTCAAGAACCAGTTGAAAATATAAGAGAAAACAAAAGAGCAAGTTAAAAGCATGAAACAAAGTTATTAGGAGATACCTAATAATATAAAAGCAACAGATTAACTTCCCAATTTATTAAATTCTTTCAGTCGCTGCTTCCCTCTCTCGAACTCTTGCTCTGCTTTTTTAGTTGACTGAATACTACCGTGTTTCTCCGAAAATAAGACCCTGTCTTATATTTTTTTGGACCCCGAAATAAGCGCTTAGCCTTATTTTCGGGGAGGTCTTCTTATTTTGGGGTGCGTGGAGCAAGATGTGGCTCCTCTTGCCATCTTATCTGATTTCCAGCTTTGCGTTTAAATATTTTCAGGGAGGGCTTATTTTTGGGAGGAGGCTTATTTTAGCGCATGCGCTCAAAAGCCCAATTGGGCTTATTATCAGTGGATGTCTTATTTTCGGGGAAACAGGGTATTTATTTAATTCATAATAGATAGGAATAAAGTTAAGTTTGTACAATGGGCCATCAAGCTTCTTTCTGCAACCTAATTATGAGAACACCCAGTTGTTATTACTTTATGAAAAAACCCTTTTTGGAAGCCTAAAAGAAGAAGCCCCACCAAGAGTTAGAAAAAAAGAGAAAAAAAGATCCTTCATGAACATATTTTAACAAAGACATGTGAATTAATATTAGAACTATATAGACTAGATAATTATTTTGTATGTAGTGTGACAGACATTAGGACAATATTTTAATATAAATAGATATGAAGAGCAAAATATGGGAATTATGAATAAGAAGCATTAATTGGAAAATTAGGGATTGATGGTATTAAACATGCATAAAAATATGATTAGCAGTGAAATCATAAAATTAAACAATGGGTGATTAGATAATGAAAGAATATAATTTAATGTAAACGTGTATTAATAGTAGAAACACACGGATTGGATGATTGGAAAGAACATGACTAGATTTACTCTATATGTTTAAATGATTGATACTAAAAGTACATTGAAACACAGAACAATGAAAGAATGGATGAAACTTTAATATAAATAGATGTGAAGAGCTAAATAAGGGAAATATGGGTAACAAAGCAGGTGAAAGATGGAAGATAGGAAAGAAACGTCTTTGAATATTATGGTGACATGGGGAAAAAAAGTTAAAATAGAGATAGAAATAAGAGGAATAATCAGGGGTGAAATGCTCCCAGTTTGGACCGGATCGCCCAATCCGGTAGCTATGGTGGCGGGTGGTTCAGAGAACTGGTAGGAAAAATCCCTGCCCCCCCCCCATGCCCAGCTGAGCCGCGCAATCATCAGAGGCTTTCTTTTTTTTATTTTTAAAAGCATTTTTTCTACAACCTCTTCGGCTGAAAAAATGCTTTTAAAAGTAAAAAAAAAAGCCTCTGATGATCATGTGGTTCAGCTGGGATCGTCAGAGGCTTTTAAAACCATTTTTTCTACAAAGAGGTTTCGGCCGAAGAGGTTGTAGAAAAAATGTTTTTAAAAGTAAAAAAAGAAAGAAAAGTTGGCCACATCCACCCAGTCACATTACCACCACCCCCAACAAGCCATGCCCACAGAACATATAGGTAGTAACAAATTTTACATTTCACCATTTGGAATAATAGTATATGTGTGTGTGTGTGTGTGTGTGTGTGTGTGTATTAATACAACAAGACACATGTAATAATAGGGAGGTCTAGAAATTAAAGGATGGTAGTAATAGATATGTTTAAACAATATGAAACAATGAAAATGAAATGTAATAACTATGACTAATGATATTATGACTGTTTGTATCAAAATGTTTGATATCCAGGTATCACACTATTTATGCATTGATATGTATATATATATATAATATAAAATAAAAAAAATAGGGGGGGGAAGAAAGAAGAAGACATGTGGTACCTTTCCAAAAGGCATAATGTAATGCTCAACATTTGCTTCTTCAATCTTCTCTGGGTATTCACTGTCATCTGCCACAATTATTGTTATATCCGGATAGTATTGTCTTATGCTTTTCAAGAGGATCCGCAGCTTGTGGTAGCGTAAAAATACTTTTACTGTGATGGTTACCATGTTTCTAATGCTGTTATCTGAGACACAAAGTAGAGAAAGTAAAAGGGGAGACATCTAGTCAAGATAACTTCATGACACAATTCAAGACTTTTTTTGTAAAGCTAGAATTCCCCTTTTGAACCAAAACCTTTGCCTTAATATTGACTAATATACTACAACTTGTTTTATTTTTCTGAATTGTTAGTTGATATCAAGTGACAAATCCCTAACTTGGACAAAAAGACTATGGAAGGAGAACCTCATTGTGACCAGTGCAAACCACTCCTCCTCTCATCAATTTTTTTTTGCGGGGGGGCTGAAAGAAATAGGTACCCAGCCAGGGGTGAAATGCTCCCGGTTCAGACAGGGTCGGGCAAGTAGGTAGCGATGGTGGCGGGCCGTTCGGAGAACCAGTAGCAAAAATCCGTTCTCACCCCCTCAGCCTCCAGCTTGCTTACCTTTGCACGCCTGCCTTGCTTTGCTTGCTGTAATCCCTGCAATCTATTGCATCAGCAACCAACTGAATCTCCCTGCCTGCAATCAAACTCATCAGTGAGCAGCTCAATCTGCCTGCCTGTAAGGTTTTTTCCCCCTTTGGGAGCTTTAAAAGAAATAGTTAATTGGGATTTTTTTTAGTTGTTCTTTTTTTAGACCTAGCCATTTAAAATTTAGGAAGTTTTAAATTTAGCTGCTTTTATATAAAAATAAAATAAAATAAAATAATATTTGTGCAGCTTTCTGAGATTTTGTGTGTTTCTGTAGTGTTTCACTCTAACTACACAAACACACAAAATCTCACAAAGCTGTATGTGGAATTTTGTATGTGTAAAGTGTGAAAGTTGGTTTTTTGGGCTTTTTGTGGCTGTGTGAGGTTCCTGCTTGTTGCAGGGGCCATTTTGGGTCTAGCACAGAAGTGTGATTGTGTGTGTGTGTATGAAGTGTGAAAGTGGTTGGGTGGGTCTGTGTAGGCTGCTTGTTGCAGGCAGGCAGGGTCAGCAAGCAGAGCCATGTGTGTGTGTGTTGTGTGTGTGTGTGTGTGGTGTGAAAGTGTGAAATGGTGTGTTGTGTGTGTGTAAAGTGTGAAAGTTGGTTTTTTGGGCTTTTTGGGGCTGTGTGAAGTTCCTGCTTGTTGCAGGGGCCATTTTTTTACATTGTGGGTGAACCAGTTGTGTTGCGTTGTGTTTTGTAGGTTAAAAAAGGGCAAAGAAGTGACGTCGACTTGACCACGCCCACCTGACCAACAAGCCATGTCCACCCAGTCACCTGACCACCAGCCATGCCCACTAATTAAGCCACACCCACAGAACTGGTAGCGAAGACCCGGTTGAAATTAAGAATTATAGACCGATATCCCTTCTTAATGTGAACTATATTCACATCCATTATAACACAGAGACTGAAAATTTTTATCAATCATTATATACATCCAGACCAAAATGACTTCATCCCCAGACGACAAATTAAAAATAATACAAGGACAATTATCGACACTCTTGAATATTATGAACAATGACCAGATAAACAATTAGCATTAATTTTCCTGGACGCACAAAAAGCGTTCGATAATCTTAATTGGACATTCCTAATAACACAATTGGAAATGACGAAATTCAGAGAAAGATTTTTAAACATAATTAAAAGGATATATAATACCCAAACAGCCAAAATATTGATTAATGGAGAGACAACAGAACAATTTGATATAAAGAAAGGAGTGAGGCAAGGATGCCCCCTATCCCCCATATTGTTTATATTAACATTGGAAACACTATTGAAAGAAATTAGGGAAGATAAAGAAATAACGGGATTAAAGATAAAGAACCAGGAATACAAACTGCAAGCATTTGCAGATGACATAGCACTTATCCTAGAAAAACCACTGCAATCAGGACCTAAATTATTGACAAAAATAGAAGAATATGGGGAAGTAGCAGGCCTGAAAATTAATAAACAAAAAACGAAAAAGTTAACTAAATACCTTACCAAAAACCAAGAGGAAGAATTGGAAAATATACTAGGAATACAAACAGCAAAGAAAGTGAAATACCTAGGGATTTGGCTCACCAATAGGATATCAATTCTCAAGGAAGATAATTACAATAAATTAGCCAAACAAATAGAAAAAGATTTACAATTTTGGACTAAATTACAGCTATCATTCCTAGGTAAAGTTGCCTCCATTAAAATGAATATCCTCCCAAGGATGCTGTATCTATTTCAGGTGATACCAATAAATCCAGGAAAATCCTACTTCAAAGATTTGGACAAGATGATATTAAAGTATATTTGGCAGAGGAAGAAGGCACGAGTTAAATTGAAACACCTACAGGACAAACGAGAAAGAGGAGGAATGAGGCTCCCGAATTGGCAAACCTACCACAAAGCATCATCATTAACATGGATCAAAGAATGGATTGAACTCAAAAACAAACACTTATTAACATTAGAAGGCTTTGATTTGACGAAAGGATGGCATGCATATCTATGGGAAGAGAAACCTAAAAAACATGAACAATTCCGAAGTCATATTGTAAGAGACACATTATTAAAGATTTGGACGGAAATTAGGAAAAACCATTATGATAGAATCCCACAGTGGATTTCAATAATGGAAGCACAAATATACCCAAACACTATGGACACAAACAAAATGAAAACGTACCAAGAACTCTTAAACGATGAAGGGAAATTAAAAACCAGAGATGAATTAAAAGAACAAGGTGTCGAAATTGATTGGTGGCCATACCTACAGTTAAAATTCAGATACAAAATGGACATGGAGAAGTATGGGATTCAGAAAGAACAGAATACTATTAGGCCCAAACGAGAAATTAATAACCAAAATTTGCAATTTTTTACTTGCATACAAATTAGAGGAAGAAATAGTAAAAGAGAATATGATTACATGGGCGAAGAACTTTGGATACAGTTAGTTCAATAACCAAATGGGAAAAACTATGGGAAGTCAATAGTAAATTAACACTATCAGTGTCATATAAACAAAATGCCTATAAGATGTTTTATAGATGGCATCTTCCCCCTGCCCGGATTTCAAAAATGTTTCCCAACACTTCTCCACTCTGTTGGAAATGCAAAAAACAAAAAGGGACATACTACCACATGTGGTGGTTATGCCCAAAAGCAAAACAATTTTGGAATAAAATCAAAACCCAATTAGAATAAATAACAGCACAAAAAATACCATTAAGACCGGAAACATATTTATTAGGTATATTCACAAATAATTACAAAAAAGAAACAATATATTTAATTACACATATTTTGACCGCAGCGAGAATAATCTTCGCACAAAATTGGAAATCAGAAGAAATCCCAACATTACTTTCGATAAAATAATATCGAAAGTAATGGAATGTGCTGAGATGGACAAACTCACTAAAGAAATCCAAGAAAAGGAAGAATCTGAATACTATCTGGTTTGGCATAAATGGTATCAATGGCTAGAGAAAAAGAAAACCAAATATAAGATGATCCCAAAAGATTTGAACCAACTCATGTACCAAACGAGACATATTAGAGTTAAAATAGAACTTTAAAAAATATCATTATATAAGGTGAGATGTGGATATAGATATTGAGAAACGTAATATACCGATGTACTATCTTAGGAAATAAGTCATTACGTTTAAATGTTATGTATGTTGTGTATTGTTTTATGTGTACTTTTTTTTTCTCTGTGTGTATGTTTTTAAAACTAATAAAATAATAAAATAATAATAAAAAAGAGTAATAGTTTGTGAGTAAAATATATCCTTATTTTACCACCTGCAATAAATGGAGATAAAGTTCATCTATTATATATTTATTTTGTCTTCTTGATTAAAAGTTCCACAAGAAAGCAAATTATGAATCTAGTTGTTTATTTAGCAATAGCACTTAGACTTTAATACCACTTCACAGTGTTTTTACAGCCTCCAAATCTCCAAGCGGTTTACAGAGTCAGCATATTGTCCCCAACAATCTGGGTCCTCATTTTACCAATTTCGAAAGGATAGAGGCTGAATCAACCTTGAGCCTGGTGTGATTTGAACTGCCAAATTGCAGTCAGTCAGCAGAAATAGCCTGCAGTACTGAATTCTAACCACTGCATCACCATGGCTCTTTAATCAAATAAATAAATTCATTTTTTAAAATTTTATTTTATTTTACTGCCCAACTCAGCAAATGACTCTGGGCCAGTGGTGGGTTGCCCCCGGTTCACACCAGTTCTATAGAACCGGTAGTAAAACTGGCAGGAGGCTCAGCCTACCGACCCCGACGTCATCAAAATGCTTTTGCGCATGTTCAGAAGCTTTCGCTCACGCACGCGTGCGGCCCCATTGCGAACTGGTAGTAAAGGTAAGTAGAACCTACTCCTGATCTGGGCTGCCTTTTATATTTATATTATATATAAAATTATATATGTAATATATATAATTTTAAAACAATTTTAAAACAGTAAAAATGATTAAAATAATTTTTAAAAACATTAAAACATCTAATTCGAGTACATACAAAGCAAGACATCTGGCCTGTTAACCATGTAGCCAAGAGGTGGGGCCCTTGGTGCATGTACTGTAGTGCTCTAGACTCAGGAGCATAGCCAGGTTTTTAAACTTTTATGGAAAGGTAACAGTGTCAGGGTCATTCTCATCTCAGAAGGGAAGATGTTCCACAGAGCAGGGGGCTGCTGCAGAAAAAGCTTGTCTTCTAGTCCCTGTCAGCTGACATTTTTTGGCTGATGAGATCTGCAGCATGCCCATCCTATTTGATTTAGTTGGACGGGCAGAAACTCTGGGGAAAAGATGGTCCCTCAGGTTTGCTCGTGGCATGTATGTAACTCACCTGGCCCTGAGTCAAATAGCTTAGGAAGGCGCACTTGTCGAATGGTCACAGGAAATCTAGCAAGATAAGTTCCGTCTGTAAAGTTCACTAGGAAACAAAAGAAAGATAGATAGTTGGTTATCAATTTTATGGCTATATTTGGCAATATTTGTCATCTCTCGCTCACACTCCATATGTTACAAATGAGAAGGAGAACCACTCCCTTATCTTCCAATATTGACAGTTGATGGGAGTTATTCAATATTTGAAGCAACAAAATTTCCTGTCTAACTTTATATTCTCTTTTTCATACATCTCACCGTAACCAAAAAAAGTTATGCATCATTAATCTGTCTCACTCAAATGCATGTACACACATGTAAACAAACAAAATGGGTTTCCTGTGGTGCTTGAAAAACAGAAATGGCACAAGCCATACTGTCCCATCCCTTGGGGATGATATAGAGAATGATCAGTGATCACTTCCTGCTTTGATTAGATTTCATTAGAGGAAGGATACATGATGAAATCTCTCCAATAAACAACTAAAGATGCAGTAGAAAGCAGTACTTTATATTTCACCCAAGCAATTTAGGCCAATTTTCTTCTTGTATTCTTTGTGCTTCCCACTCAGTTGTAGAGTAGATTTTTCAATCTCCTTTGTGTGGCTTAAAGTTTTATTTATTGTAGGCATTCATCTTGCCCTTGTTAACACATTTATATGATAGGTCTCAAAATAATCAGTCCCGGACCAGAAAGCTAATAATAAACATATAACAAGGGAAATGCTGTCTTTGAACAAAAAGGGCTGCTCAAACGAAAAATAATTATTTACATTTGGTAGGGACTCGCCCAATCCTTACCTAGTTAGGCTGTTTTATGTCACTTAATCAAGTCTATAAAACTGAATGTACTGTATGTACAGATGTTTGGCTATACAATTGTACATATTTTTAAATAATACCAAAGGAACATCCATTCTGACTGACAATAGACTTGTATCAGTTCATTTAAGAAATGCCGGAACTGAACCTGGAAGCTTTTGAAATTAAAACATGGACGTAACTGCAAAAGCAATCAACATTGTTCTGATTTTAGTGCAATACAAGTCTCATGCTCTACTTCTCGGTTGCAAATGTCCTTTCTGAAAAAGAATACTGTTTGTCTTTTCAGTTTTTAAAATAGATTTGCTCCCAAAGCTTCAAATTGGGAAGGTCAAACAATCATTTTTGAAATTTCCAAAATAATGTGGCTTTCTAATGGTTTTTTTTTTCCAACGAAGAACAAGTTTTGAGAGGACAAAAAGTCACTATTAACTAAAAGATATGATGTTCCTTCTTCAAGACTAGAGCAAGTCAAGTCAAAGGTGAAATCCAAAAGTGAAGTCCCAATGAAGGGCTTGTCTAGTAGGACATGTTCAAACTTACTCATATCCACTACATCTAATAGGTATTTTGTACTAGTGTATGTAACATGTTCCAGGATGTGATTCAAAAGCTTCACATAGGAAGTAGTGATGACCAGCAATTTTGTCCCACGTCCTTGGACCACTTCTTCAGAAACATCAGCAAGAGTATTCAGATTCCCAAAGGATGCCTGTAGAAGCACCTGCAATAATTTTTTAAAGAAAAAAAACAAAGAAAATTTCATTTTCCAGCTATATCACATCAACCACAACATTTGCCAATATTTGTGAGCCTGAAATCAGAACCACAAGAAAATGAAAAGTTATCCATGGCAGCTAATTTCCTTTGGTTATTATTTTTATGAGGGTGGGATGATAAGAAATATAAATATTGCCTTTTCTACAAGGTCTTAAAATCAGGAGTTTGACAGTGCTTTTTCTGACTAACAAAGTTTATTATAAGCTTTCTTGAGCTGAATCAGATGCATAGAGTGCATCACATAAACTGAGTTGCCACTCACAAATGCTTATACTTTTTAATAACATTTGTAAGTTGGGGAAAAGGATGCTACAGACTCCCACTGATTTATTGCCACTGTAGCTTTCCTCCTACAATGTCTTCAAAGGCTTCAGAAAATGATTTGGTTAGAATGTTGCTTTGTGTGAATTAGATGGGTGAAATGCTTATTAAACGTCTCACACCTAAACGTAAATGCTTGCAGAAATATTTCTTCTGTGGGGCAAGGCTTGGGCATTATAAGAATGTGTTTATACACCTTCCCTTTCTTTGATAATTTCAGAAATACCTCTACAGGTAGTCCTCAGTTTATGACAGTATCTGTATTACAAATCATTTTTTGTCTGCAATGAAAATTCTTTTCCATCCTGACCTATATTTACAAGTCTTATGCTGAGTCTAACCAAGGCATTGAGTTAAACCATTAGAGGTTCAGATATCTATGATTTACTGCCTAATCCTAGTAGGGGAGCCTGACACTGGCCATTGTTTCACAAATCTCACAAAGGAACCTGGACCTTGTGCATCTATGCTTCCAGAGACATAGCTATCTTCTCCTGTTCCTGGAAATCTTTTTTTTACAGATGGAGAGCACTTGCATCAGCTTTCTCTACCCTGAGCCCTCCAGCTGTTTAGATAAACTCCCAGAAATCCTCAGCAATTGCTGAGCTAGCTGGGGAATTCTAAGAATTGACATCTACATCTATTGCAGGGGTGTCAAACTCATGACGATATGTCATCACATGACGTATCGTGACTTTTTTTTCCTTCGCTAAACCTGGGGTGGGGGTGGTCAGTGTGTGATGCAGATGGTCTGTGGGCTGCAAGTTTGACTCCCCTGATCTACTTGATGCTTAGATGGTGAAAGATGGTTTTTATAACCCACTAATCTTTGCTGGGAGGAATAGAACGGGTGTACTTACATTTAAAGTAAGATGTATTTTAATATTACGGGAAGCATCTTAGGCACAAAGACAACTGGTGAACTTTTATTATTTGAACTTATTTCAACTTATATGCTGCTCTATCTCCGAAAGGACTCAGGGCGGCTCACAACAATAAAAACAAGCAAAATCAATGTTAAAAATACCCAATAAGATTATAAAAAGACCATTAAAATCCCCTTTAAAACCCCTTCAGTCCAAACCAGCCAGGCGAAATAACCATGTTTTAAGGTCACGGTGGAAAGAGCGAAGGTTAGGGGCCACCTGGAGCTCCAGGGAGAGCTGATTCCACAGGGTAGGTGCGCCCACAGAGAAGGCCCGCTCCCTACGGGTCACCAGACATTGTCTGGCCGACGGCACCCCAAGGAGGTCCTCCCTGTGAGAACGCACCAGGCGATAGGGAACTGTCGCTGGCATCTTGGGCAGCCTCTCTTTCTCTCTTTCAGCCCCAGGAAGAAGACAATGGCAAATCACTTCCAAAATTTTGCCAAGAAAACTGCAGGGACTTATCCACTCACTAGCTAGGAGGTAACACTGACTCACATGCACACACAAACTAAAATGCTGCCTACTTCTCTTTTCTGGAAATCTAGATTGATACTGCATGCTCCAAAACCTGAGAAAGCCACATTACCTTTAGAGTTTCTCTACTTGTTCCATGGAAAGCTAGCCCTTAAAAAAGAAAAAATAAATAAACCATTTTATTCAATGAATGATACATAAGGAGTCAACTAATGTATTTTGCTTTTTAAAAGTTTAGCATACTTTGATTCTTGGAGATAAGAATCACATTTTTCACCACTGGAACTTTTGGGAGTCCCATCATTGGAAAGAGCTGGTAGTTTATACCATAATGCATTCCAGATTGTCCTGATTGCTACATACTTTCAAGATGGCTGCACTGGGAAGCAAAACTGGGAGCAACTTATGGTCACAATCAAAGAACTATGAAACAACCAAGGGCCCATGTTTCACAGGATGTATTTCTGCTGACAAGTATAAACTGCAAGATAGAAACTGGGCAGTCAATGCAGCCTTTTGAAATTTCAGTCACAGAAGATCATATTTCCTAGTTTTATTTTTTCAGCTAGTTTTTCAGTCTCGTTTTTATACACTTTCATATCTACTTTCTCTTGTAAAGTCAAAGGGTGGATGGTAAATACAGATCATCCAGTCTTTTAAGAATCCTTTATCTCTAGAGGGAAAAGAATCCTTTATCTCTAGAGGGAAAACTAGAGCCAGCAAAGTAGAAATGTTTGCTTTTTAGAGCCAGCTAAAAACCTTTGGGCAGTAAACTTAGCTCAGCTTTGAAGTTTCTCCTTTAGATCTTGCTCTTGACCTACCTGGAAGTACAATGGTGTGCAAGGGCATCACCTCAGCCCCTTGAATGGGATAACTCAAAGGAATATTTGGTTGAGCAATAAGGATATCTTTTTCCTCAAATTGATGCCTAAGACAAAGTAAATAAAAAGAGAAGACTCTTTAAAAGTCAGTATAAACAGTTAAGAAAAAGGAGTTGTACCAGAACTCATATCTATATTGTTTTATGGAAAGCCAGCTGTTTAGATATACTGGATGTTTTGGATTTTGTCTTGAACTAGGTTAGACTGAGAGGTGGTGGTAGGTCCAAAATTTCACAATTTGGGGATCAGGTTTTCCTAACAGCAGATTCTGTCCTCTTAAAATACATAGCATTTTAGCACATACAATAGACCAGTTCAACATGCACGTTTGTATTATTTAATTGACAGTTAAAAAGCCAAAGATATTTAGGCCACAATCTTTTCTTAAAGGGAGATAAATTTGTTAAATTTAATAACAAATGATGAGCTAACATTTGAGTACCATAAAAACCTTCTCATTTAAAAAAAAAAATCCTTAAAACTTTCCTATTTTTTGTAGTGTAGTAATAATATGTATAGTTATTCTGGAAACTCTGCAAATCAAAGTTATGGCTACAAAAGTCAGATTGTTTCAGATAAAAACACATGATAAAATCCAATGGGCTCACTATCTTCAGAAACACAGCTGTATATTCTGTGTTCCAAACATTAACTGGTATGTTGAAACCCTTTGTATGTTAAGAAGAAGAAGAAAATTCATCACGATAATTCTGACCCATGAAAACCTGTTCCATTATATGACTCATTTACAACACTGCATGATTACCTTCTCTGATAATGTTTGAATTCCTTCTCACGTCTCTGCCTTATGGATTCAAGTTTATCTTTATCTATATAGTTTTGCAGTTGATAGATGGTCAATTTACCAGTTTGTGAACACTCACAGTGATTCTTTGGACCTAACCTTGGGGAATAGAGGAAAAAAATCAACTAAAACATTTACCAATGATACATTTAATGCTTTGCCTAAAATTATCTAATAATATGTAAAGTGATTTTGTTCACATTGAACTATTGAAATATTTCTAACCACCTCTCCCTCCTCCCCAGCTTTCATGGTTTCCTTGGGTAAAACCCTGTTACATAAAATCTTCAAACTAAACTATCTGTCTATATCTATCTGTCTCATCTATCCACCCATCTTCCCTCCTTCTTTTCATCGATCCCTTCCTCCAATAAAACATGCTTAAAAATGAATCATTTTTATTTTTAATTGGGGGGGGAGTAGAGAGACAGAGGTGCAAGTCCGGAGAATCAAAATCGATACCCCAGGATATTAATTCCAAAAATGAAGTCACTTAAAAGTGAGGTTGAGGGAATAGAAAAAGAATGAATGCTCGAATTATTGAAAAAGAAATATGTAGGCAGTTCAAATAAAACTGAAAAGAGAGAAGGTTACCTACTTGTGCAAAGAAGTTGAAAGCACAATGGAGGAATGTTTGAGTTCAATATACAAATAGAAGATTTGATGGAACATAAACAAAGATTACATTAGAAAAGGTTTCTGGCCAAACATGCAAAATGGTGTCTGCCTGCTGACAGTGTATTATGTCTATTTCAAAGGTTCTTAGTCTGATTAGGGAATAGAGTACCAAAATAATGGAGAAGTGGTCTTTTAAAGATGCCCATTAATGTTTAATACCTGGGCTGCAGGTTGAGCGAGCTGGGATAAGTTGGATGATACAATATAAATAAATAAATTAAGTGCCTGTACAAAAGTACTTATAAGTAAAAAATAATGAATTCATTGCATTCATAAAAACACTTCTCCAAAGACCCATAAGGAAGAGGTGCCAGTAAAAACGATCCAAGGGTTGTTGGTTATTTGTGATTCAAATTGTAGATTGAAATTATCTACCAGACAGGGTAGGTAGAGTGGTTCTATTAGGCTCATTTTATCCTGCAAATATCCACATATAAGTATTATGTGGAATTATATTATTAAAACATGGAATTTGTTTGCAGGCTGAGCAAAGAAAATAATATTTATGTAGATAGTAGTAAACTTATTTTCTATGTTAAAGAATAATTCAGGGTTTTGCTATTAAATTTTGAAATGTGTTTATATTCTAAGCCACTAGGTGGTTTACTACTAAAAATAAGTGGATGGAGCTATGTTTCTATATAGTCTAGAAATTATTTTCCAATATGATGTAGATTTAATTGAATTAATGTTATATTAATATTATGTGGATTCCCCCCACTTCCTTTTTTCTCCCTTTATGTTCAGTTTATTTTAATCATTGTTTGTTTTTTCAAAATACAATAAAAAAGTCTAGGGATTTTTTCTTGTTGTTTGCAAATTCATTCATAAAAACTTGGGTTTGACTAGTTTTTATTCTTTAGAAAATAAGAGAAAATCCTCTTTGTTGCAGTCTTTATTGAGAGGCAATACTGATTTTAATTATTTGTTAAATTATTTATTTAAACTGATTAAATTAAATAGAGATGTTTTAAATGTAATTTGTAATCTGACAAAGATTGATAGTGATTATAGTTTTATGCTGATAGAGTTATTGTTAAATTGTGGAAGACCAAAAAAATTACTTTCTAATGATTGAACTACTGGCAGTCCACAGAATTAGTCTGCAATACTGCATTCTAACTACTACACCACAATGGCTCCATTAATCCTATCAGAATATGAATATTTCTACAGGATTGTGTACGTTAGAATAAGACTCAAAGTGTAATTTTCTGTGTGAATTATTTTTCATTCAAACTACGCTTTTCTTTGACAAACTTTGTTGTCACTTTCCATTCACACCTTTCTTTCAGACTCAGACAGGTTTATCTGTGTTTATTTTCCCTTCTTCCCACTTGACTCATACCTAGATGTAAGAAGTTTTTACACTTTTTACTAATGTCCATATGATGTTTATTTGGATTATAGGTCAATATATATATCTACCCGGAGATGGGTTTCACATAATCTTACCACTGGTTCACTGGGCACCAAAAAATGTGAGCATGCATGCGCTCTTGCTTCTCTCATGTGTGTGCCTTCCGTGCAAGTGGTTTGCTTGCATGCACGGCTTGCATGCATGTGCACAGCTTAGAAAACGTGGCTAAATAGGATGGCATAGCGCAGGGTAGGTACAGGTCGCCGCTACCAGTTTGCCTGAACTGGTCCAAACTTGCTGAATACCACCACTGCAGGACTTCCCTGAGTAACTGACTCCCTCTCATTATAATCTCCTTCCTTCCTCCCTCCCTCCCTCCGTCCTCCCTCCGTCCGTCCCTCCCTCATTTTTTCCCTTTTCTTCTTTTTCCTTGCCTCTTCATTTTCCTTTCTTCTTTCTTCCCCTCTTTCCTTGTTCTCCCTTCCTTGCTCTCTTTCCTTCTTTTTCTTTGTCTTTCCTGTCTCTTCTTGGATGCTCAAATGCAAAAGGGGAAACATTTCTCGATGCCTCCTTGCCTTGTGATCAAATGCCACTTTTGCTAGTAGTTTGTGGCCAAAAACTGAGAACAAATCAGGCTCAGTTTATCCCATGCTGGCATTTAGTGGGAGAGTCCACAGACAACAGCAAAACTGTCCAAATGTTGGCTGTGATAGTTGATCAGAGCTCCTCAGTTTTTTTATGTACAACAGCTTTAGCGTTTAGGAACAGAAGTAAGTTAGTTGCTTTTCTATTAATACATAATCCTTAAGAGGGCTCTCCTGTAGGGAGCCTGCCATAGTCTAATTCAGACTGGAAATATAGCAAAGGAAAATATATTCCCCATTCTGCTTTATCCTGTTTTCCCCACTGGAAATGGCTGTTTGAAACACACAAGGAGAGGATACTTTCCTAAGAGCTCACAATTCAAAAATACCAACGTTAACTTGGATTGCCAACAAAGTTCTGTCTGTAACAAAACAGAACACAACATCGCTTTCTCTTTTGAACTGGGGCATCTCCAACCAAGTTGCCCTTCCTTCCTTCCTTCCTTCCTTCCTTCCTTCCTTCCTTCCTTCCTTCCTTCCTTCCTTCCTTCCTTCCTTCCTTCCTCTCCCCCTTTTCTTTCCTTTCTTTTTTTTTAAGCTGCCAAAGATTCCCGATAGAGACTTCCCATTTTGACCCTTCCCTCATTGTTGCTTCAGCGTGGTTTTTAGTTCACATCTCCCAGACTCGTGTATGTTTGTGTGCCCCTTGCAACCCGGCACTGTGAAAGAAGAACAGATCGGTCCCAGAGAAAGGCTAGAAAATGGGGACAGGAGGCACCAGTGCCACCCGCAGACAGCCTTAGATCTGCGCTGCTATTTCAGCTCCAGCTCCTAGCCGGGCGCATAGCGTGCGAGGGCTGGCATCCTGGATGAAGGGCAGCACTCAGCAAGCAGTCTCCAGGGACGCCAGTTGCCAGGCCCTGCACGCTCTCCACCTCTTGTGTGCACACCCACGGGGAGGATCCAAGGCAAGCACTGCAGACCTAAGGCTGGGCCTGGGTGATGAACCAGAGAGCGGCTGGGCTGTGGACATCACTCTAGGTGAGTGGCCAAGGCAAGATAAGGAGTGGCTGGAGGAGCCAGGTGGAGTGGGGGCAGGGCCAGCCAGTGGTCCTATCAACTGGTTCACCGAACTAGGTAAAAAGTTAACAAGGGTTCATCCGAATCAGCTGGAGCCCACCTCTGTGTGTGAGGCAGCTAAGGGAGGAAGACTCATGAGGCAGAGATCAGCTGGGTTGCACTGGCTGTGGTAGAGGCAAGTGAGGGAACCAGAAAGCAGCAACAGCTATGCCACAGGCATGCCTGTAGGCATTGATCAATTGTGGACGGGGCGAGATAAGGAGTGAGGGATGGGGCGGGGCCACCCAGAAATTTAACAACTGGTTCAGCCGAAGTGGTGCGAACCGGTTGAATCCCACCACTGGTTGTAACCCAGTGCAACTAAAAGAGGTTCTGGGTGTGGAAGGGGAATTTGCTAAATACATAGATGGTGGTTAATATTCCTCCCACCGTCCAGTGCGCTCACACAGAGCGGGCCTCCTCAGGGTGTTGTCAGCCAGACAATGTCAGGTGGCAGCCCCCAGGGGGAGAGCATTCTCTGTGGGAGAGCCGACCCTCTGGAATGGGCTGCCCATCGGCCTCAGGATAGCCCCAGACCTGGAATGTTTATGGAAAACATATATAGAATTCTATTTTATAGAAGGCTAAGGAGCCTTGAGATTCTGTGGGCAATTCCAATAAAAGAAGCATTCAGTGAGAAGAAGTCATTTACTGCTTCATAAACGTTTAAGGAAGCATTTAAAAATTTTATAAATCCAATTTCCTTGTTTGCTGAGCTATCATTACCAACTGCCTCACAACCAATAAAACTAAAACTAGGACTTGTTTACATTAAGTACCATCTAGGTATTTAGCAAATTCCAGGAGAATAACAATCTAGATTAAATCTTTTGGATTAAAACAAACTGAAAAATCATACAGAAGAGTAATGTCCTCTTCCTATATAAAATGATTTCATATGATTTTTCCATTTGTATGCCTATTAAGCCCAAAGGAAAAGTTTATGCTTTCAATAACTTTTTTAATTTTCTGTATCAAAATACATACTTGATTCCCATATTTTCTAGCTTTTCCAACAAATATTTGAAATTGTTTTATACTATTTTGAGAATTTTATTGGTGTTGTGCCTCACTTTATCAAAATTCTTCTTAAGATTATAATTCAGTGTAAATTTTAACCTTTTTTTCTATATGAAAAAACCATATATCACCTCCACTGGTCCTAGTTTTATACTATATTAATTTTATGTCTATTTTATTATAGAATTTTAAACTTGTTCATGCTCTATTTACTTTTTCAATAAAAGTTTATACATTTTAACAATAATATGATCATAATTTGTACATCAAATTTATTTTTACTCTTTTCAAATTCATAATTGTACAGAACTCTACATCAAATTTATTTTTACCTGTCAAAATTCAAAATTGTTCTTTTCCAATTTAAATCTTTCCATTTAGCTGAGAATAGGAAACCAATGGCATATAAGTCCTACAAGTTTTCTCCTACCTTTTTAAGTTAAATTTTCCTTGAGAAAAATTCAACAAATCAGCAAAGGTTAATAATTCTATTTCCTTTCTAAAAAAGGCTTCTTGGGATGACAACAGATTTTAGGGGACAGTTTTGCTTTATACTTACTCCAATAAATCTAATACATCTAATACAATTATTTTAAAAGTCCACATTTGCCTTGACTATCGTACAACAAATATCCTCAAAGATAGAAGGATTTAGAAATACCTACAATGAAAGAATATATGGTGAAGATGCAGAGCTGGCAAAATCAACAAATTTGATGAAAGAAAGATTTTGGAAAATTTTATTTCTACTTGGACTTTTTTCTAGAAAGAAATTAAAAGCTGATTTGGGGGTTTAATGATTGGAATTGTATTGGATTATCAAAATGTTAGCTTTAGAGTAGGAGTTTGTTCTCCTGTAGCAAAGATAGTCTGAAGTATTTATTTTTTCTATTTTTCTTACTTTTTCCTTCTTTTTCCTTCTCTGCACTTTTATTTTTATTCTTCTCTGATTTTGTTCTTTTTTTTCTAATTTTCTATTTCTGTTTATCTTTGAATTTTGTATTTTTGAAAATAAATAAAAGTTGATCAATAAAGAATATAAAATAATATCACCTTCCTAAATATATCATTAATTAAGGAAGATATAAGAAAGGTCAGCAAAATCTGCACAACCCCTGAAAGAGAAATTTTCTTGCTCTCCCGCCTGCCCCCCATCATCAAACTAATGATGAACCAGAATTAGTTTTAGTAAAGGAAATAATTACCTTGGGGTTCACTAGAAGTCATTGCTAAGGAGAAGACCTGACCTTGACAACTTACGGTAGAATTTCTATTTCTCCTGAAGAAATTTGAAGAAAATGCTCAGCCATTTCCTGAACCTACTAATTGGATGAATGTCCAATGACCTTTTATGTCTTATTCCAGTGGTGGGATTCAAATAATTTAACAACCAGTTCTCTGCCCTAATGACTGGCTGGGTGGATGTGGCCATGGTGGGGTGTGGCCAGGGGGTATGACGGGCAGCACTCGGCCTCCTGTACCCCCCTGGGAGCAAAAAACAAGTCGTGGGGGGGCGCCGGCCCCCTGTGCCCTGTTTTGGGCCTAGTAGACTTCCCTGCAGCCTCCTGGGAGCAAAAACGGGTCGACTTCTGGAAGGGGCGGGAAGGGGAGGGGTGGAGCTAGCCAGCAATTTAACAACCGGTTCTGCCAAAATGGTGTGAACCGGTTGAAGCCCACCACTGCCTTATTCTAAGTGAAACTTAAACCAGAAAAGCTTGTATAGTCTTCTCTAGCCACACTTTTGGTTAAGCTATCACATGATATCACTTCTTTGGATGGGATTTCATTACTTCTAGGCTTCAGAAATACTCCATGCTGTATTACTGCCACAAACTATCTCTTCTTTGGCAAGTAATTGATATTTTCATGACTTTACTACTATTGGCAGAATGGGAACTGTTATATGTGCTCTTACATACGTACATGCATCCAGCATCCTGGCTAAACTTCCTAATTGGATTGCACTGCTTTATTTCTACTGAAAAAGATTTTTATTTACGCTTTCAAACTTTTTAAAAAATTTCTAAGCACATATGAGAGTAGGCATACTTAGGATCACCAATCCTAATTAACAGTCATATTCCAAAGTCATGTCTTTATACTGGTCTTCTCTAATTGTCTAGCTTGTTCTTCCAACTATAATCAATATTTTAATAGAAAAGAAGATTCAGAAGAGAAATGTGTTAAAATTACCTCTGTTAACACCCCCTTGCAATTTTACATGCTCCTAAAGAAGTAGCATTATACTTACAAAACTTACCACATTCCATCAAATAGAAACATGAATTTGTATTTTTCTTCTGGAAGAAGTTTAAAAAGAGATGCTTCCTCTAGAAAGTTCCGCTTCCTTTTGACTTCGATATACTTTTTTATCAGTGTGAAGGTGAACAAGACCATAATCACATAAAATATGATTGCATATAAATGTTTGGATCTACAGAAAAACAGAAAAAAAAATCAGTTTCCAAACAATTCACCACTTACCTATAATGAAGCCATGGTTTCTTGCTGAAGGTAAAAGGTAAAAGTATTTGTGTGTGATATAAAGGAAAGCAACACTGATTCCTGGAATGAATCAATATAGATTCATTCAACTCAGATTTATATTTGTTTTCCTGTATACCAGTGAATAGGACTGCCGTTGAGGAAGAGCACATATCCTGAAGTGCTTTTCCTACTTTTGGTATCTCCCGCCCAATCAGCGTCAGCATAGCAGGTCAGCTTTGGTTTCGTGGACAGGTCTGGTTCAAGGCATAATTGTGCATTGATTCTGTATTTGAGGTATCTGAGCAACCTCTTGATGGCATCCCAGTGTGATGTAGGCTTGCTCACGTGCCTGGATAGTAGATTGACAGCCAGGGCGATGTCTGGTCTAGTCCAATTGGCTATGTATAATAGCGATCCTATGGTAGACTTGTACAGTTTGTTGTCAATGAAGGGTTCAGACTCATCATACATACTTTTTAGAAAGTCTGGTTGCATGGGGGTCTCACTGGGCTTCGCCTCTGACATATTGCATTTTGACAAAAGTTCAACAATCTTTTCTTTTTGTGAGAGTCAGAAGCCTTTGTTGGTCTTGGTCACTTGAACCCCTGGGTATTTGTCTATATTTCCTGGTGATTTTAATGAGAAGTGATTCCCCAGTTCAGTGGCAAATTTATCACATTTGTCTTTTTGCTTGCCTATGTACAGTATATCGTCCACATAGACAAGGATGCCCTCAAATGAATCATTTTCTCTTTTTATAAAGAAGCATTTATCAGCTGAAGTGGCGGTAAAGCCCATAGAGTTGAGGGCTTTGGCTAGTACCACCTCTTGCCTGATTGCTTGTGTCCATATAAACTTTTATTCAGAAGCCATGTGTTGTTTTTTTCTTCATTGTATCCTGGTGGGGCTTTGACGTAGATTTCTTTGTCCAATTCTGCATGGAGATATGTGGTTTGCACATCAAATTGGAATAGTTCAAATCCCAGAATAGTGGCTATTACTAGTGCACTCTTGACGCTCTCAGCCCTGACTGTAGGCAAGTAGGTATCTGTGTAGTCCTCTGGATACTTCTGGGCAAATCCTTGTGCGACCAGCCTCGCTTTGTATAGTGCTTTGTTGTTTTCCAGTGTCTTGATTCTGAACACCCATCTGGTTCCTATTGGTTTTTTGTTTTCTGGTGCTTGAGCTGGTGAGTATACATGTAGGTCCCTGAGGCTCTCCATTTCTCTTTCCATGGCTTGTTCCCACTTTTCTCTCTCTTCCTGGGGAAGCTTGAGTATCTCTTCATAGTAATTTGGTGTGGGGTTGTTGGAATGTATAGGCATAACGTAATCTTCGAGTCTCTTTGGCAATCTATTCCTACTTGCCCTGACTGGCCTGTCTGGGAGTGTATCTGTTTCATGCATGTACTCAGCTTTTTTGTTTGTAAGGCTGTCCAAGTTCAAGGTGGGATGTCCTTCCTTCCATTCCTTGGCCTTTATTTCGTGATGTTCGGGTTTGTGTGTTTTGGCTTCCTTTGCCTTTTCTGTGATCATTTCCTCATCTCTTTGGTTACGTGCGTGTGTGTCCCTGCCAATGAGAATGTTGTTAAAGTGAAGCCTTGACCAGTTTGAATGTTCATGGAAGTCCGCAGATCTGGATACGACAAACTTGTTGTTGCAGTCTACGAACCTGAAACCTTTCGTTCCTGGTTCATACCCCATGAACTTTAACCTCTTGGATATCTTTTCTCCCTTCTTTCTCAACTGGCTATAGAATAAACCATATAATTTTTGCATGACCTCATACACAGTTAAATTGTTACCTATGCTAGGATACATAGTGGGTGGAATACTGGTTAACAATAGATAAAATGCCTTGTGATTGATACAGTCAATCTCAAATGACCAAGGCCTTTTTGGAGGTTTGGAAATTAAAAAGAGTACATTTTCTTTCATAAAGAAAATAATCTGTAGCTGCTGGCTCCATTCTAAAAGATTTCCTCCATCTATTTGTAATTTTGGGAAATTAACAGGTATTGTCCCAGAATTGTCTGAATAATTACTTACTGAGGGTAGCTGTCCATGGTCCAGGATGTGTGTAAACTCACAGTAAGGCAATGGGATGCTTGAGCTAATGCAAAAGAAACTGTCAGTCAATTTTTTTTCCTCTCTCTGTAGGTGAAGACTGGGCATGCGCGAAGCTCATTTGGTGCTGGAAGTCATTGGGTGAGGAGCTCGCGGCTGCAGTTCCCAGGCCTAGGCCCAGGCCTGCCAGGGGAACGTTGGACTCACCCCTGGTGCATCTGGAATCAGCGCTGGATGTCGGAAGTCATTGCTGGGTGGCTGGGTCCCTGCCGAAGATTGGCAGGAGTCGTGGCGGCATAGCCGTCATAGATTGAGGACTTTTGGAACCCGGCAGTCCTGCAGTGGTGGCAGCGATGATGGAGGCGGTGGGTTCTGGTCCATGGATGATGGCCCCTGGATGTGTGGAGAAGCCCGGTGGTGGTCGTAGGACGGGTAAGTAGCTGGCTTGGTTTCCTTTTCTTGGGTTTCGCTCCGGTAGTAGGTGGGGTGGTGAATTCGAGTCCTGCCGCGTAGTTAGTCTATAGTTGGTCAGTGTTCTTTGTTTGTCGCAGAAGTGTGTCGCCTCTCTGGGTAGTGGTAGGTTAGGTGCTTCGTTGTCGGTGGTTGTTCTGGTGTCCCTCTGGCTTCCAGGGTTTTCTTTGCGGCTTTTGGCTGGCGTGGGAGGCTTGAACGCGGAGCCAAACGCTGCCGCTAGAGTCTCGATGGTTCTTTCTACTTCGAGCTCGGTAGGCGAGCTCCTGTTACATTGGATTTTTTCCTCGTAGTCATTTTTGGGGTGTCCCTCGTTTGTTTCAGGGCCCTGGCTGGTTTGTGCCATTAAGTTCAAATCCCGGCTTTCTATTGCTTGCTGGCCATTCCAAGATGGCCACCGGGAAAGTGGCATGAAAGTGAATTCGTCTATGTTCGGTACCTCTGTGAGGGAATGCCTTTCCTTTACCAGACTAGTGGTTTCTTGGGTTTGTTCCTGGGCACTCATCGCTGTTCCATGGTTTTCTAGGAGGCCTTGGAATTTTGCGATGAAATCCCCGTTGCTGATGGGCGCTTCCATCATTTTCAGTAAGGTCATTAGTGATAACAGCCATGAGAACTTTTGAGGAGGATTTCTTTGTCTGTAAGCGGCTTGATTTTGGGGGGAAAAAAAGGAATACAACAAAACTTTTAAAATTGGAATAATACCAACCCAGAAAGAATAAAATGGTGCAGGAAATTAGAGAAATGATGAAAATGATGTACTCGTCATGGAAAACAGAAATAAGGGAAACAATTACAATGTTACATGGAGAATCGAAACCTGAGGACCCAAATACTGAGATAGAGCATGCTCAAACTGACAAGGAAACAAAGACGGAGAAGCAAGACACAGAGATTGAAAATAAAGAAGAAGTTTAATTATGGACAATGAGATTAATTATGGAAAATTAATTGAATAGGTGGATAGTAACAATAAAAAGGAGGCTTTTAGGGATTACATTGGGATTAACAATGGAAAAAACAGAGAGGGTGTAAAGAGACAAAGAAGGAAAGAAGGGTGGAATAGAAAGAATACAAAAAACTTAAATTATTACCCTGGGATTAACAGTGAAAAGATAAAAAAGAGAGAAAAAGGGTGGAAAACAGCAGGAAATACAGGGCAAAATAGAAGAGTCCAGGACTTTGAAATACAGAATGATTACATTCTGTAATCATACAGAAGCAGTGGGGAAACAAGAAAAAGAGAAAAGAGATGGGAAACATTGGGAAATATAGGGCAATATAGGGCAATACAGGAGAGTTCAAGATTTTAAAGCTCAAAAGAAAAAAAGGTGAAAGAAAAAGGCGAAAAGGAAAAGGGAGAAAAGGAGAAAGAAATGAAAGAGGAATATGCTATATATGCTTAGAATTGAAATATGAATTGTAGCAAGAAAGAATGGAAAATTATATGATTGTAAAAATGAATTGAATAATAATTGGAACATTTTTAATCTGCATTTTAAAAACTTAGATAATGATAAGTTTTTAGAAATATGAATAAGTTTAAGCTGTAATAATTGAAATACCATTAATGGTATACGTGGTGAAAGTAGAAATGACTAAGTTGTGGTTTTGAGAAATATATGGGGAAAGCTATATGATTAGAGGATAACAGCTAGAACATTTTTAAATTTAACTAGGGAAATTGTAATAATTGAAATATTTTTAATTGTATATTGTGGTGAAAGCAGAAATGATTAAGTTGTGGTTTGGAGGAACATATGGGGAAAACTATTTGGTTTATTATTATCATGTAAAGAGAAAAGATGGTTAAATAATGAGAATATTCATGTTCATATTTTTGGAATTTATATAAAGAAACATATGGGGAAAATTATTTGGTTTATGATTAATATACAAAGAAAAAAGATAGTTATATAACTAACTGATTTATACCAAAATGTTGGATTGTATTACCTAAGGAAACGTATGTTATAAAATAATTGGGTTTATTATTCCTATAAGAAATCAATGATTGTAACACCACATAATTAATTAATTTTATAATTAATTTGATGATGGATATAAAAATAGATGGCAATGGGAAATATCAGTAAGCATAATAAAGGAAAATAAGGAAATATTAGGAATCATATTAGGTGAGATCTTAAATTGAAAGGGTATAACATAGAAGGGAGAAATTGAATTTTGTTAAGATTAGATATGAGAATGAACGGTAATATTGGTTTAAAAAAATAGATGAGAATAAATATCGTGGCAAAAAGGAAGTACAGAAATTGTAAATTTAGTTGAAATGACTAAAAACTGTTTAAATTTGTGAATCGGCCAAATACTCTGTCTAGAAAAAATACATTGTATGTTTGTATGTGTGTTTGTGTATAAAAACAAACAAACTTTTTTTAAAAAAAAAGTTTTTGTGGACTTTGTGTGCCAACAAGCTAAAACAAAAAATGATCCTAGCATTCACTTCACATTGTCATGGGCTGCTCCTTCGGAATGTAATCTTCACAAGCCTCCAGTAGCAGTCCACAAAACTAAGGTGACTCCTCCAGATTCTCTTCATCGGTCTGCCAGCTCCTCTCACATAGAAACGGAGATCAGAGATCCTGGTAAGAAGTGTTTTCTACACCAGAAACCACATCCTCTCCTAAAATGCACAGCCTTCAGGGAGAAGTCCATAGAAGATCGCAAAGCTTTCTTGAAAGTGAACAATATCTGCTACAAGTACTGCTCATCAGTCTCCCATCTTGCTAATGATTGTAAGGTCAGTGTAAAATGCATTGAATGTGACAGCATAGCTTTACACCCAGGGCCAGCACCATGGACTTTATAACACACTTACAGTGGCAGCGAGCATGGCAGGGAGGACGAACACACTACTACAACCACAGCAGAATCAATATGAAATGCACAGAAGTCTGCAAAGAGATTGCAGACAGCAAGTCCTGCTCCAAAATCTGTTTAGTCAGAGTCAAAGACATTAAGCTTTATGCTATTCTAGACGACCAAAGTTAACAGGTCTTTAGCCAGTTCAGCCTTCTTTGATGTCTTTGTTATTAAAGGCCCCAGCACTCCATATTCCGGCATCCGGCTACCAAGTCGAGTCGGTAGATGGGAAAATATGCCTGACTTTACCAACTCTTATTGAATGCAACCAGATCTCTGACCACAGATCTGAAATCCCTACACCAGATGCAGCAATTCATCACCCACATTTGAACCACATAGCGCATCTGATACCAGAGCTCAATCTTCAGGCTCAGATAGTCTTGCTCCTAGGAGAAATATTTTATGAATCCACAAGGTGAGAACTCAGATCAATGGTCCGCACAATGTCCCTACACTCAGAAATTAGAAGATGTCTGTTTAGGAAGCATGCACAAACCAACCTCTGTTAGCAGCATGCTGACAAGCACATTAGAGAATAGATGTCCTTCTATCTTTCAGCCATGCCACAACCAATTCCTCTTAAAGGAACCACTGCACATTACTCATTTGCTTTGTCCCTTCACAGGATCCTTTAGTGACAACCTCACCTGTGGCAGTGAACCAAGGTCACTTGAGGCACACAGTCTTCCAAAAGATTGTAATCAGGTGGCAGCATCTACTGAGGACAATCTCCCTTTAGAAAAGACAGGGCAGGGATTAGTCAAAGAGGATAGTGACAGCCGAGTCACCCCTCTTCAGACCACAGAGGT